TCCTCAGGAGACAGCTCAAAGTGAAAGAAATTGTTGAAAAAGAAGGGATTTTAATAAATTATCGGGCATAAATGTTTACAAACGAATACTATTCTAACAAGTAACGCTCGCCTGTGGACTCGCTCAGCTCTTTCTCGTAGATATATTGTTCTACAATGCTACCAAGATTTTTGTTTATGCAACATAGAAGAACTAACCGTGGATTTCAGTTCATCAGCTTTTATTACTCTCCGTCAGTTCGTATAAAAATTTTTAAAAAAGGTTCTTTGCCTGAAAGAAAACTTTTTATGAAAAATTTCAAAAAGTTAACATCAGATTCGAAGTCTCCGCATCGAAATGCCTCCGGAAATGTCTTTTCGATGTTTTTTTTGACCCTGCGGACATACAAGCAAACAAACAATTTATGTTTCTAAGACTCTTCTCTACGGGAAAGAGAATAATTTATACATCTCCAAGTGACTTTTTCGTTAAGGAGTGCTATCTGGGCTGGATAGAGGATTAGGAATCCTCCAACTGATAGGCCTGGTGGTGGTATTTTTCAGGTCAGCTTTTTGCTGGAAGGTTGATAGCGATCGCGCAAAAAGAAGTTGGAAAAGATGGGATTTGTGATTTTATGGTTTTTCACGGTTGATTACGTTGCTGCGGTTCTTGGTTTTGGGAAACATCGGATACGTGGTTTGGTTCTGGAAGAGTAGGGATTTTTCTGGAAATAGGCGGAAAACGGTTTGGCGCTTGAAGTATTTTTTGTTTCTGTAGGGCTATTTGGGGATCCTGCTGTTTTATGTGGTGTTCTGTTTTGTCGGATTTAGGCGGTGTTACTATTTTCCGTCATGATAAGTTGGGAAACCGGTCAGTGGAAGAAATGGGACTATCAGGGATCCAGTTCCGGGGATTCCGGTCTGGAACACTGCTTCAACATTCCTATGGCTTTCCGTTCGTCCTGGGTATATACTGATGTAAAATCGAATTCGATTTTCATTGGCAATTCTTTTTCTTTTTTGTAACTCAGATCAAAATTAGTGGTTTACTTCTTCGTTCATCGCTGTATTATTATACAAAATGCATTTTTCGTTGCACTCGTCGTGCTTTAGCTTGTTGCTTTCATTCTTTTTTCTTTTCTCTTGTTCTACATACATATTGCCTTTCTTTCTCGAATCCTTTTACATATCCTTATCATTAAATGTATACACGCATTTCTTTTCGTTGGTGGGGAGATATGTACATACACATGTCTTCACACGCCTTTCTCCACCTGGTTCTGTTACCTTCTATACACTTTTTTTTTCACATCGTTTCGAATACACAGATTGAGTTTCGTCTCTCGAGCGAAGGCGACACTAATAGTACCTAAAACTCTTTTTTCTCTATTCAAACTTTTGAAAAAGAACCAGAAACAAGCAACTCTCCTCTTTACCTTATTGAAAATGAGTCTGGAGTATTTGGCGAATGAAATCTTACTCAATCTTTTTGAATACTTCAAAATTGAAGATGTTTTTCGTGCATTTTATCAACTTAATTCTCGGTTCAATACACTTCTTCTCAAATATTTTCGAGCGTATCATCTGGATTTTCAGTCCATATCCAAACATGATTTCCATCTCATCTGCACGAAATATCTTCCATTAATTTCAAATCAAATTATATCGTTACGGCTATGTGATGAAATTAACGCATCCGTACAATTGAAATATATTCCGATTTACGTTCCATCGTTCTCTCAACTTTCTCATTTGCGTGCACTGTCGCTCTATCACATCAAATCTACACATCTTTTGGAAAGATTAATTATCGAATGGCAGGAATTACCGTATCTTACACATTTGAGTATAACTAATTGTTATTTTTTCGGAACCTCGACTCTTCTCCGTACGACGATCAATAGCATTTGGCGTCTTCGTCGATTGATGTATTGCCATTTGAATCGTTTGTCGAAAGAATGGGTGGATTTTATTGTACCAGACGATACTTCGTCCTCAATGAAACATTTGATTTTTCAGAATGGTCATATGGATTGGCAGACAGCAACAGGATTGTTGGAGAAAACTCCTTATCTTCGATGTTTGAATATCCATATTTCTCAAATCTCGATATCGGAGGTCGAATTTTCAAGAGAATATAAATCATTAAGCCGGCTAAACATACGCACCCGAAGTACGGCAAATATGTTATCCTGTTGGAAATCTTTTCCGAATCTATCTCATCTAACGGTTTGTATGGAAGCCAGTTATCTCGATGGGAAACAATGGGAATACATTATTGAAACTTATTTATCTTGCTTGAAAGAATTTCATCTATTGATGGAGTTTACAAAGGAAGAAGCATATGTTGATCGATTATTGGATTCATTCCGAAGTTCGTTTTGGCTTGAAGAACGTCAATGGTACGTTCGATGTCATTGGTGGAAAATATCCAATCCCAATGATCGAACTGACATAGTATTAACTACATTACCCAATTTAACCGGTTGTTCCACATATTCTATCGATAAAAGTTGTCACAGATCAACTAGTCCAGATGACAGTGTCTACAATTCCTACGATCATCTAAATACTATTGAATATTCATCGTGTTTCCATTTACTACCGTTCGTATTTCCCAATATTAGCTATTTAGCCATCAGGCGTCCTGATCACGATGAACCTTGGTCTGCTGTTCCTAATCTAGAAAACTTACGAACACTTCGATATTTCACAACTGAACCATATCATCGTATGAGAGACGAATTACAGACAATACTAGACCGTGCTTCCCATCTGCAAACATTGATACTACTCATGCATGACGATCAATACAAGTTTTTGGATTTGAAACATCCTTCGATTCGATGTTTAGATTTTGGTGGTCATAGGATGATGAGTGAAGAGTGTGAAACATTGATTACAAGTCAACTAGGTCAACAATGTGAAGTCCTTATTACATCGATCGATCAGCCTGAACTTGTACCTACACTAATCAATCATTTGCGAAGTCTTCGAATATTGAAAGTATTCTCGAGATACATCGAAACTCCTGCTTTGTTTTCCTCTGAGGATGGATTGAACGATTGGTTAGCATCTCATTTACCAGCAACATGCAATTTCCAATCAAGATACAAAGAACACTCCTCATATACATTTATTGTTTGGATTCAATGAATTGTCAGAAATCAATCTCGTTTTATTCATTACCCACTCTAGTGGAAGTAATAAGTTGTAATTTTTTAAAATTATGAAAATGGAGTTGTCTTTTCATTGTAAAATATAATTATCACCGAGACTACCTTGAGAAAGAAGCACAAAATATGCATGAAAGTTTTTTCTCGTCTAATTATCAAATTTTGTCATCGGACGATAACAATGCAAATGAGTCTCTATGTAAAAGTACATCATCGCGTAGATTCATTTCAGTTCGATTTTTATCCTTTCTCCCAGAGATATCGAAGTTACGAAATATAACAATTGTAATCTACAAACCAAAACGATCATTAGGTTCTCTCGTCTTTTCTTTTGGGGCGCTTTCATTATTGCTATACGAAGATAATTATCACATTCAGAGCTATAGGAAGTAACTTAACAATAAATAAGTTAATGATTGGCACTGAAATGAGAAAGAAAGAGAAAAAAAAAGAAATGTTCTACTTCGTTACCATGTCTATTACTGAAAAACGTATTTATACATAAACTATATGTAGCGTTACCTGTATAGAAATACAAAGCACGTGGCCACAATATTGACGTTTCGTATAAATCGTATCGAAGCGTATCGCTTGTCCTTGCTCTCGCCAACTGTATATACATACAAAGGTAAAGTAACGAACAGAATAAAATTACCGTCGACTACGAATAGAACATGTGTTAAAAGCACAATCGGAACTAGAGTCACAACTATTGATGAAAGAGAAACAACGTCACCGTTCAAAGATTTTTTTCCAACACATTTCATTTTAGATTAAAATGATGAGTGTAAAAATTATTCGAAATCTTCGTTTAGTCATTGCATTAGTTACTCTAGGTGCCACTTATTTCTTAGTTTCTTCTTTTTATTCATCATCAAAAGAAGTGTCAACAACAACGACAACCACTACCACCGTCCCAATTCTTTCCAACAAGACAGTCCCATCATTGGTTTCATCAAAACCAAAGGAGAAAAATACCATTCGTGTTGCTGTTGTTGTTTCATTAGCGAAACAAACATCACACATCGCTGAATTTCATTTACTTTATGATTCATGGCGTTTCCTTGAGCATTTCTCACCATTATCTCAACAAGTCAAAGTCGATCTGATCGTTTTCTGTGAACAGCCGAGTTGTTCGCAATTACCTTCGTTCTGTTTACCACTTTCCTTCAACAACAAGTTACAACCAAATCCATCGTGTTTTTACGAAGAACTATCGGTGAAAATCGTTGAAGAATGGAACGATTACCTTTATATGACCTCAATTGCTTTCCTATTAACGCCCCAATATCGATCAACCATCCTTAAATATGATTGGATCTTACGCGTCGATCAAGATGCAATTATAAGTCCAGCTCTTCTCTTCGGTTTGTTAAATAAACATCCGGTGAAATTGTACGACATGCAATTTGGTTCGACGGGCCATGGTACTGAATTCACATATAAACGCATAAGAGATATCGCAAAAAAACTAGGTTATAAACATATGGGAATACATAATTTATGTTCAACATGGTTAGTTCATCCCAATGATTCGATTCAAATTGCAAATCTAACCACCATCATCGGACGACATTTTCTTAAGAATGAATACGGACCACATGTTCCAGGTCGGAGCAAACTATATAGAAAAGCATTGGAAATATTTTCTTCGTTTCTAGGTATTGAAAATTTACCTGCGATCGGTGAATGGCCAAAATGGTGGCGGGGTGTGACATCTCTATATGCTGCTAGTATCGCCATCAATCATATTTATTCGTCAACGATTGCTGCGCATCATCAATCACCTGCAATCGATCATCCATCGTTTTCAACTAGTTCAATATGGCATGCCTGGCATATTCATTCTTTGCATAATTCTGAACCGTTTGCAAAGTTTCAACATCGTGGTCATTTGCAAGAATTTATAAACGAGGATCCAGCGAAACGAATTATTCGAATGTCCAATACAACCTATACGCAAGAAGTTTTAAACGCAGTCATAAAAGAATTTCGTGAAATTTATTATAATAATGGCAAATTTAATGGCATCATATCTGTTCGAACTTACGTAACTGCTTTAGCATGGCAAAAAGCGCACGCAGCTACAGGTGCGATTAATTTAAATTGAGGAATTCGATTTTCATTGCGTGACTATGTCAAAGTATCGCACAGTGTTTGTTTATTTTTTGTTCTCATAAGAAAAATGATATGTTATCAACAATGAGTTTATTTTGAATTAAAAGCAAATTGAAATTTAGATATGATTTTTTTTATCCATTCGCTTTTTCCGGGTGTTGAATAAGCACTTCACGATTAGCGCAAACGCTTTCCTGCGTTATTTTTAATCCACGAACTTGTTCACGAATCTTTGCTCCATTGATCGGTAATCGATAGTGTTTCGACTAATGGAAAAATTTCTTCAGGTTTCAGAACATCTTTTACGTTTGATAAATCTCGTAGATGCGTCAATATTTCTTTGAACTCTCCATCATTTCCGCAAGAACCTGAACAACAGAGTGGTTTTGTTTCATTTGTTCCTCACGAATAAAATGTTTTAAATATTCGATGATTTCGTCATTTAGTGGGAGAATAGCATTCGTATGAAGAAACTTGGCTAGTTTTTCGTTCCGCAAATCATAAATTCGTCGACCGATTTCCTCTAATGTAAATTTTCCTTGAAGTCGTGTCACAGTTGTCTGATATTCGTAAGTTATATATTGATGTTTTTTCCAAGAACTGCCACATTTTAAATAGAGGCCTAGGAAAATATCGATCGGACATTGGTAAAAACGAAGATGATATTATCACTTGCACTCTTATCTAAATGTCGAAGAAGCTCACTGATACAAAGGCGAAAAACTACTGTCAGTCGTTCTTCGTTCAGTTTCAGAACAATACAGACAGTGTTTAAATATTCATATTGCGAAATAAGTGTTAGGATTTCTTGGAAGCTTTTGTATCGCCAATTCGAATGACTCGATCTACTTTCGCGTCATCATCCGTATAGGAAAATGTTGATGGAATCGCAACTTGAAATTCGTCTTGAACTGTTTGTGTTAACGTATCATTACAAATATAATTCAGTAAACCATTAATAAATGTCGATTTTTCAGTTCCGGCTCTACCTAGTAAAAGAATTTTGATGTCCTTGGATTGATCACAACATCGTTCATCTTCTACTGCGTATAATTCCTCAATCTAAGCCATATATTAAAATCTATCGAGCAGAACAAAAGACTTTGCTTTCTATTACGACTGTCGACTTCGTATCTATGAAGAGAGTATCTCTTTATCAGCAATACGTGTCCTGAAACGAAAACACACTAATGTGCTTTTTCCAACGTAAACCTTGAACATTCTTATCAACTGGCGCAATCTTTTGTTCGTTTAGAATTGGTTAAAAAGTTAAACTAATCAGCGGCACATTGTTGTTCTATAGCAAGGAAGTTTCATTCGAATAAAAATCGTTTTCGTCAACAAATGGATGACGATATGAGAGATTATCTCAAAACAGAGCTTCAAGCAACAGACGAAGAGTTAGATAAATTGGAAAAATTAATCCAACTACAGCAGTCCAAAGTGAACTCAACACAAGCAAACCTTAGTCAACCATCAGTTATTTTCGATGATTTTCTTTACCAAGGTGATTTAGGTCATGCTATCGATGAAAAACTACTGTCGGAGCTGAAAATTCAACATATCATTAATCTCTGTGATTGTTCATTGGAGACGGCAATCGTTGAAAGATTTGATGTGACATGGATCGATAATTTTGATGATAGCCTTCAAAGTCAAATTCGAGAACATCTCAATCGAACTAATGATCTTCTCGATAAATACAACAAGAATAAGGAGAAAGTATTAGTTCATTGCCAAGCTGGAATATCTCGATCCTCATCGATAATTTTGGCCTATTTAATGAAGTTTGAGTTCAACGTGCTTTGACATCCGAAATAATCAAGTTTCACTTTTTGTTTTTAGGTATAATCATAAGAGTTTGGAGGAAGCTTACGAATATTTACTCGAACGAAGACCAATCGTTGCACCAAACTATGGTTTTCTTATCCAATTGATTCGATATGAAAAGGAGCTTGAAAATCAAAAGACATGATTGTCATTAGGGATATTGTATGCGAGTAAAATAAAATAGAAAANTAAAGATAGATGGTTGCAAACTCATCCTCTGTTAATAGACATGGTCTCTTGTATTTTTTCTTTGCTTGCCTTACGTAATCATCGATTCGAAGGATTTCATGTCTGATGCCTTGAATAGCTTCTTCCAATGTTGTGATAACTTGGTCTTGATAACCGTAGATCGGACTGGTACTTTCGTCTCCATATAGAGTATCACTTGTGTCGACGAATCTGTTTTCCATTTTAATACTTTTCTTTATAAAAGCTATATTGCAAATAGTCTAGAATAATAAATATAAATGAAAGTAGCTATTTTTCTGGAAGATATATGTGAGCTCATAGAACTAAGGATTTTTTTAAAATTTCTTTCTCTCGACTTTCATTGTCCTGAAATCATAGAAATCATTCGTTTATGTACTCCTACATGGAAGTCGAAAACAGAAAAATCCTGAAAGAGTACATCAATATATGTACCAAATTATGAAGAGAAAATCGATAATTTATTAGAGGTTTGCTAGAAAACATCTATAGAAAAAGAAAATACCCTTATGCGAAAGTTTTCTTTTTTTCATTTTCGACGTTAACAAGACGACAAATTAATAGAGAGGCATAAAACCACCATAACACTTTATAGACATCCTTGAACACCAGAACTTTTCCTCCTCAGAGTTATTTACAGAAGCACTGACATCATGGCATATTTATTTTGTATGCATTTTTGGATCATTACAGCATTAATCTTCTTTCTGTGCGAAGGATTACGCAAGAGGTTTCTTTCCACCCTACTAAACTTTTCTGCTAAAAATTTAGTACGAAACTACAGATGCAAAACCTCAGTCAAAAAATCTGTTTATTTTTGGTTGTCACTTTATTTAACGTTTATCTCAAAAGCATATTACTAATTCATGCTATCAGCATACACACTCAACTTTTTAAATCTGTACATAGCTTACTCTCACTAAACCCCACTTTGTCCAACTCTTAGATGAAGAAATTATGAATACAGAGGAAAAAATTATCCCCCCTCATCATTAACACCTAATATATTTCTTATGGTCTTGACAAACATCCAAGTGGGTATACACTAAAACCTACAGAATTGTAAAATCTACATTTTTGAAACAACAAACGGCTTTCTCCCTTTGAGTATTAGGAACCGAGGTGAGCATCTGGGTGGAATTCATAACGGTCTCAAATTAACACGCTAAAACAGATAAGAAGCTTCATACCCACGTAGGATACCTTTCGGTAGGATTCGACATTTTCTTGAAAGGATTCATTTCAGCGAAGGTTCCAATCAAATGAACACTGGTTCCAAGTACAACTTAATGAGTTCTATCGGTTCGAGTCATAAAAAAATTGAGGGTGTGGGTGTGGGTGGGGTGAAAATTTTTTATGATTCGAACCGATAAGGCTCGTGGAGTGTGATCTGGAACCAGTGTGAAAATCGCGGTCGGTGGTTGTAAAACGAATCCGCCCCGGCTTTTCTCTAGTTTCGGTTTTTTTGGATGCTTTTTTTCAGATTTCTTTGAGTTTTGAAGGTGAAGAAAGAGCTTTTTTTGGAAATTTTATTTTTGGAATCGATAGAGCTCATTAAGTTGTACTTGGAACCAGTGTTGGTTTAATTGGAACCTTCGGTGAAACGAATCCTCTCAAGAAAATGCCGAATTCTGTCCTACGTCATCATTTGTTGTTTTCAAAATGTAGATTTTACAAATCTGTGGATGTTAGTGAGAGTAACCTATGTATAGATTTAAAAAGCTGAGTGTGTGTATGTGCTGTTAGCATAAATTAGTAATACCCTCCTCAAAAACATGCTATCTAAATGAAATATTTTACCGAAATTTCAAGGAGTGAGGCCGAAAACATACAGAAAAAAAAAGAAATATTACTTTAGTTTAAAGTCGACGCGTGCGCATACCGAAAGAAGAAAGCAACAATGAAATTGTCGAGAAGACGCTATTGAATAGTGAGATAAAGTGAAAGTATATCAACAGGTGTTACCTGCGTACGTCCTCAGGAGACAGCTCAAAGTGAAAGAAATTGTTGAAAAAGAAGGGATTTTAATAAATTATCGGGCATAAATGTTTACAAACGAATACTATTCTAACAAGTAACGCTCGCCTGTGGACTCTCTCAGCTCTTTCTCGTAGATATATTGTTCTACAATGCTACCAAGATTTTTGTTTATGCAACATAGAAGAACTAACTCTGGATTTCAGTTCCTCAGCTTTTATTACTCTCCGTCAGTTCGTATAAAAATTTTTAAAAAAGGTTCTTTGCCTGAAAGAAAACTTTTTATGAAAAATTTCAAAAAGTTAACATCAGATTCGAAGTCTCCGCATCCAACTGCCTCCGGAAATGTCTTTTCGGAAGAATCGATTTTCGATGTTTTTTTTTACCCTGCGGACATACAAGCAAGCAAACAATTTATGTTTCTAAGACTCTTCTCTACGAGAAAGGGAATAATTTATACATCTTCAAGTGACTTTTTCCTTAAGGACTGCTATCTGGACTGGATGGAGGATTAGGAATTCTTCAACTGATAGGCCTGGTGGTGGTATTTTTCAGGTCAGTTTTTTGCTAGAAGGTTGATAGTAATCGCGGAAAGAAGTTGGAAAAGATGGGATTTGTGATTTTATGTTTTTTCACGGTTGATTGCGTTGCTCCGGTTCGGAGGGGTTCCTTCGGATTCCGATTATGGGCGGTTCTTGGTTTTGGGAAACTGTTGGATACGTGGTTTGGTTCTTGAAATAGGCGGAAAACGGTTTGGCGTTTGAAGTATTTTTTGTTTCTGTAGGGTTATGTTGGGATCCTGCTGTTTTATGTGGTGTTCTGTTTTGTCGGATTTAGGCGGTGTGACTGTTTTCCGTCATGATAAGTTGGAAAACCGGCCAGCGGAAGAAATGGGACTATCAAGGATCCAGTTCCGGGGCATTCCGGTCTGGAACACTGCTTCAACATTCCTATGGCTTTCTGTTCGGATCCGGTGGCCGGAACGTTCATCCTGGGTATATACTGATGCAAAATCGAATTCGATTTTCATTGGCAATTCTTTTTCTTTTTTGTAACTCAGATCAAAATTAGTGGTTTACTTCTTCATTCATCGCTGTATTATTATACAAAATGGATTTTTCGTTGCACTCGTCGTGCTTTAGCTCGTTGCTTTCATTCTTTTTTCTTTTCTCTTGTTCTACATACATATTGCCTTTCCTTCTCGAATTCTTTTACATATCGTTATCGTCAAGTGTATATACACATTTCTTTTCGTTGGCGGGGAGATATGTACATACACATGTCTTCACACACTTCTCTCCACCTGGTTCTGTTACCTTCTATACACATTTTTTTGACGTCGTTTCGAATAGACAGATTGAGTTTCGTCTCTCGAGCGAAGGCGACGCTAATAGTGCCTAAAAATCTTTTTTTCTCTATTCAAACTTTCGAAAAAGAACCAGAAACAAGCTACTCTCCTCTTTACCTTATTGAAAATGAGTCTGGAGTATTTGGCAAATGAAATCTTACTCAATCTTTTTGAATATTTCAAAATTGAAGATGTTTTTCGTGCATTTTATCAACTTAATTCTCGATTCAATACACTTCTTCTCAAATATTTTCGAGCGTATCATCTGGATTTTCAGTCCATATCCAAACATGATTTCCATCTGATCTGCACGAAGTACTTTCCATTAATTTCAAATCAAATTATATCGTTACGGCTATGTGATGAAATTAACGCATCCATACAATTGAAATATATTCCGATTTACATTCCATCGTTCTCTCAACTTTCTCATTTGCGTGCACTGTCGCTCTATCACATCAAATCTATACATCTTTTGAAAAGATTAGTTGTCGAATGGCAGGAATTACCGTATCTTACACATTTGAGTATAACTAATTGTTATTTTTTCGGAACTTCGACTCTTCTCCATACGACTATCAATAGCATTTGGCGTCTTCGTCGATTGATGTATTGCCATTTGAATCGTTTGTCGAAAGAATGGATAGAATTTATTGTACCAGACGATACTTCGTCCTCAATGCAATATTTGACTTTTCAGAATGGTCATATGAATTGGCAGACATCAACAGGATTGTTGGAGAAAACTCCTTTTCTTCGATCTTTGAATACTCATATTTCTCAAATCTCGAAATCTGAGGTCGAATTTTCAACAGAATATGAATCATTAAGCCGTCTAAACGTAAGCACTCGAAGTACGGCAAATATGTTATCCTGCTGGAAATCTTTCCCGAATCTATCTCATCTAACGGTTTGTATGGAAGCCTGTTATCTCGATGGGAAACAATGGGAATACATTATTAAAACTTATTTATCTTGCTTGAAAGAATTTCATTTATTGATGGAGTTTACAAAGGAAGAAGAATATGTTGATCGATTATTGGATTCATTCCGAAGTTCGTTTTGGCTTGAAGAACGTCAATGGTACGTTCGATGTCATTGGTGGAAAATATCCGATCCCAATGATCGAACTGATATAGTATTAACTACTTTACCCAATTTAACCGGTTGTTCAACGTATTCTATCGATAAAAGCTGTCACAGATCAACGTGTCCAGATGACAGTGTCTACAATTCCTACGATCATATAAATACTCTTAAATATTCATCGTGTTTCCATTTACTACCGTTCGTATTTCCCAATATTAGCTATTTAGCCATCAGGCGTCCTGATCACGTTGAACCTTGGTCTGCTGTTCCTGAACTAGAAAACTTACGAACACTTCTATATTTCACAACTGAACCATATCATCGTATGAGAGACGAATTGCAAACAATACTAGACCGTGCTTCTAATCTGCAAACATTGAGACTACTCATGCATGACGATCAGTACAAGTTTTTGGATTTGAAACATCCTTCGATTCGATGTTTAGATTTTGGTGGCCATAGGATGATGAGTGAAGAGTGTGAAACATTGATTACAAATCAACTAGGTCAACAATGTGAAGTTCTTATTACATCGATCGATCAGCCTGAAGTTGTACCTCCATTAATCAATCATTTGCGAAGTCTTCGGATATTGAAAATATTCTCAAGATATATCGAAACTCCTGCTTTGTTTTCCTCTGAGGATAGATTGAACGATTGGTTAGCATCTCATTTACCATCAACATGCAATTTCCAATCAAGATACAAAGAAAAATCTTCATATACGTTTATTGTTTGGATTCGATGAATTGTCCGAAACCAATCTCGTTTTATTCACCACTCATTCTGGTGGAAGTAATAAGTTGTAATTTTTTAACATTATGAAAATGAAATTGTCTTTTTATTGTAAAATATAATTATCACCGAGACTACCTTGAGAAAGAAACACAAAATATGCATGAAAGTTTTTTCTCGTCTAATTATCAAATTTTGTCATCGGACGATAACAATGCAAATGAGTCTCTATGTAAAAGTACATCATCGCATAGATTCATTTCAGTTCGACTTTTATCCTTTCTCTCAGAGATATCGAAGTTACGAAATATAACAATTGTAATCTACAAACCGAAACGATCGTTTGGTTCTCTCGTCTTTTCTTTTGGAGCACTTTCATTATTGCTATACGGAGATAATTATCACATTCAGAGCCATAGGAAGTAACTTAACAATAAATAAGTTAATGATTGCCACTGAAATGAGAAAGAAAGAGAAAAAAAAGAAATGCTTTATTTCGTGATAATGTCTATTAATGAAAAATGTATTTAGGCATAAACTATATGTAGCGTCACCTGTACAGAAATACAAAGCACGTGGCCACAATATTGACGTTTCATATAAATCGTATTGAAGCGTATCGCTTGTCCTTGCTCTCACCCACTTTATATGCATACAAAGGTAGAGTAACGAACAGAATGAAACTACCGTCGACTACGAATAAACCATGTGTTAAAAGTACAATCGGGACTAAAGTCACAACTATTGATGAAAGACAAACAACGTCACCGTTCAAAGATTTTTTTCCAACACGTTTCATTTTAGATCAAAATGATGAGTGTAAAAATTATTCGAAATCTTCGTTTAGTCATTGCATTAGTTACTCTAGGTGCCACTTATTTCTTAGTTTCTTCTTTTTATTCATCATCAAAAGAAGTGTCAACAACAACGACAACCACTACCACCATCCCAATTCTTTCAAACAAGACAGTCCCATCATTGGTTTCATCAAAACCAAAGGAGAAAAATACCATTCGTGTTGCTGTTGTTGTTTCATTAGCGAAACAAACATCACACATCGCTGAATTTCATTTACTTTATGATTCATGGCGTTTCCTTGAACATTTCTCACCATTATCTCAACAAGTCAAAGTCGATCTGATCGTTTTCTGTGAACAGCCGAGTTGTTCGCAATTACCTTCGTTCTGTTTACCACTTTCCTTCAACAACAAGTTACAACCAAATCCATCGTGTTTTTACGAAGAACTATCGGTGAAAATCGTTGAAGAATGGAACGATTACCTTTATATGACTTCAATTGCTTTCCTATTAACGCCACAATATCGATCAACCATCCTTAAATATGATTGGATCTTACGCGTCGATCAAGATGCAATTATAAGTCCAGCTCTTCTCTTCGGCTTGTTAGATAAACATCCAGTGAAATTGTACGATATGCAATTTGGTTCGACGGGCCATGGTACTGAATTCACATATAAACGCATTAGAGATATCGCAAAAAAACTAGGTTATAAACATATGGGTATACATAATTTATGTTCAACGTGGTTAGTTCATCCCAATGATTCGATTCAAATTGCAAATCTAACTACCCTCATCGGACGACATTTTCTTAAGAATGAATACGGACCACATGTTTCAGGTGGGAACAAACTGTATAGAAAATCATTAGAAATCTTTTCTTCGTTTCTAGGTATTGAAAATTTACCTGCGATCGGCGAATGGCCAAAATGGTGGCGTGGTGTGACATCTTTATATGCTGCTAGTATCGCTATCAATCATATTTATTCGTCAACGATTGCTGCGCATCATCAATCACCCGCAATCGATCATCCATCGTTTTCAACTAGTTCAATATGGCATGCCTGGCATATTCATTCTTTGCATAATTCTGAACCGTTTGCAAAGTTTCAACATCGTGATCACTTGCAAGAATTTATAAAGGAGGATCCAACGAAACGAATTATTCGAATGTCCAATACAACCTATACGCAAGAAGTTTTAAACGCAGTCATAAAAGAATTTCATGAAATTTATTATAATAATGGCAAATTTAATGGCATCATATCTGTTCGAACTTATGTAACTGCTTTAGCGTGGCAAAAAGCACATGCAGCTACAGGTGCGATTAATTTAAATTGAAGAATTCGATTGTTATTACGTGACTATGTCAAGGTATCGCACAGTGTTTGTTTATTTTTTGTTCTGATAAGAAAAATGATATATTATCAACAATGAATTTATTTTGAATTAAAAGCAAATCGAAATTGAAACATGATTTTTTATCCATTCGTTTTTTCCGGCAGTTGAATAAGCACTTCACGATCATCGCAAATGTTTCCCTGCGTTATTTTTAATTCACGAACTTGTTCACGAATCTTTGCTCCAATGATCGGTAATCGATAGAGTGTTTCGACTAATGGAAAATTTTCTTCAGGTTTCAGAACATCTTTTACGCTTGATAAATCTCGTAGATGCGTCAATGTTTCTTTGAACATCTGAATTTCTTGCTTTTAACTCTCCATCATTTCCGCAAGACCCTGAACAACAGGATGGTTTCGTTTCATTTGTTCCTCACGAATAAAATGTTTTAAATATTCGATGATTTCGTCATTTAGTGGAAGAATAGCATTCGCATGAAGAGACTTGGCTAGTTTTTCGTTCCGCAAATCATTAATTCGTCGCCCGATTTCTTCTAATGTAAATTTTCCTTGAAGTCGTGTCACAGTTGTCTGATATTCGTAAGTTATATGTTGATGTTTTTTCCAAGAACTGCCGCATTTTAAATAGAGGCCTTGGAAAATATCAATGAAATTTCCTGGAAGTGGATGAAAATACTTTACCAGCCTCATAATGCATGACGTCACATTCGCTCATTCTCGAATCTCGAATTGTTGCTTGAAACAACGCCATTGAGAAAGCATCGTTCGCGACATTTAGAGATATATTCAACGACTCTCTGGTTATCCACGACAATAACTTGGCAGCATTTCGGAATAATACAAACAGTTCGTGGGTAAGGTAAGTATATAATTCGAACATCATTTTGGCGCACATCTTGTCGCGCTTCGTCGGGATTTCGTCGAACATTTTCTCTATGTTGTCGAGCAAGTTGAATATTGTATTCGATAAGTTTAGCTGTTTCAGCGATAGGTCGCGTTAGTTTTCGAATCAGTTGTTCAGCTTCATTCAGTGTAAGTGTATCCCTGATCACACGGAGTGGACGTGTGGCCACGTAGCTCATAAGTTTTGCATATTCTCCAACTTTGTTCATAACTTGAAGTGTGTTTGTCGTTGAGAATGGAACTTCAACATGGTACTCAGCTTGATGTTGTGCTGTCCGGCTTGAAAAATATCGATCGGACATTGTTAAAAACGAAGATGATATTGTCACTTGCACTCTTATCTAAATGTCGAAGAAGCTCATTGATACAATAGCAAAAAACTACTGTCAGTCGTTCTTCGTTCAGTTTCAGAACGATACATACAGTGTTATTCATATTGCGAAATAAGTGTTAGAATTTCTTGGAAGTTTTTTGTATCGTATTCAAGACCTCATGTATCACCAATTCGAATGACTCGATCTACTTTCGCGTCATCATCCGTATAGGAAAATGTTGATGGAATCGCAACTTGAAGTTCGTCTTGAACTGCTTGTGTTAACGTATCATTACAAATATAATTCAGTAAACCATTGATAAATGTCGATTTTTCAGTTCCCGCTCGACCCAGTAAAAGAATATTGATGTCCTTGGATTGATCACAACATCGTTCATCTTCTACTGCGTATAATTCTTCAATCTAAGCCATATATTAAAATCTCTCGAGCAAAACAAAAAGCTCTGCTTTCTATTACGACTGTCGACTTCGTATCTATGAAGAGAGTATCGCTTTATCAACAATACGTGTTCTGAAACGAGAACACACTAATGTGCTTTTTCCAACGTAAACCTTGAACATTCTATCAACTGGCGCAATCTTTTGTTCGTTTAGAATTGGTTAAAAAGTTAAACTAATCAGCGGTACATTCTTATTCTATAGCAAGGTAGTTTCATTCGAATAAAAATCGTTTTCGTCAACAAATGGATGGTGATATGAGAGATTATCTCAAAACAGAGCTTCAAGCAACAGATGAAGAGTTAGATAAATTGGAAAAATTAATCCAACTACAGCAATCCAAAGTGAACTCAACAGAAGCAAACATTAATCAACCATCAGTTATTTTCGATGATTTTCTTTACCAAGGTGATTTAGGTCATGCTATCGATGAAAAACTACTGTCGGAACTCAAAATTCAACATATCATTAATCTCTGTGATTGTCCATTGGAAACGGCGATCGTTGAAAGATTTGATGTGACATGGATCGATAATTTTGATGACAATTTTCAAAGTCAAATTCGAGAACATCTCAATCGAACTAATGATCTTCTCGATAAATACAACAAGAATAAGGAGAAAGTATTAGTTCATTGTCAAGCTGGAATATCTCGGTCCTCATCGATAATTTTGGCCTATTTGATGAAGTTTGAGCTCAACGTGTTTTCACATCCGAAATAATCAAGTTTCACTTTTTTTTTTAGGTATAATCATAAGAGCTTGGAGGAAGCTTACGAATATTTACTCGAACGAAGACCAATCGTTGCACCAAACTATGGTTTTCTTATCCAATTGATTCGATATGAAAAGGAGCTTGAAAATCAAAAGACATGATTGTCATTAGGGATATTGTATACGAGTAAAATAAAACAGAAAAGCATCGAAAACGAATATAATACAAATTTTAGAAGGCTATTCGATTCCTAGACAAAGTTTTTGCTGTATATAACAAAACGATAAGAGAGAAAAAGAATCCTTGTTTTGTCAGGTTTTATTATCGTAAGTTGAAAGAAGAAGACTTTATCTTTTGAAGAGAGACAAACTTCATTTCGTATTTCTGCCGCCGCAAACATTAAATAACAGTCAACGTTCGTGAAGGAAGTATTCGAGAAACTTGGAAATCTCTAAACATGGCAGCGGCAGCATCATATAATGAGTCCTATGGTTTAATTATTTTGGGCAACTCTGGCGTAGGGAAAAGCTTTCTGGCTAATGTTCTTCTTGGGCAAGACGTATTTACTCATGCTTACGCTGCTCGAGCAGTGACAGTCGAAACCGAATTTAAAGAAGTTTGCATGGGTGATCGAATCTATGCGATTTTCAACGTTCCTGGCCTCATTGAAGCTGACCAACAGCGTATAGAAATGAACAAACGCGAGATAGACAAAGCATTTCAAGCACGACCCACATCAATAGTTATGTACGTGTTTGGACAACAAAACGGTCGTATTCGAGATGAAGACGTAGTCGCGTTCAATGCTCTCAATCAAGCCTACCCATTCGACGCCGATTCGCTCATAGTCGTTGTTAACTCATTGGCGAAAGATCGTCCCGAGGACTACGAAGGTGAAGCCACTGTATTACTGCAGCAACTCATTGAAATGCCCCGTTTAAACATTTGTTTTCTCAATGCGATTGACAAGAAAAAGCCCTCTGAGAGACAAACTTTGAACAATATTCTTCTACAGGTAATCGTCGAACGAACTGCGCATAATTATTCAAAGAAACAGGAAATCGAGATCGAAAGTAAAAATGTACGTGGAGCGAAAGAACGAATTCAGAGTCTCCAGCAAGATTTTCAACAGAACAAGCGAGCGTACGAAAAAGAAATTCGAGAGCATCAAACCATCTATGAAACATTCTTCACTGAAATACGGAGTGAGAACGAAAATATACAACGTCTCATTGACAGGCAGGTGAAAAAACAACAAGATCCTGAGCAGCCTGACAAATTACACACACTGAAAGACGGACATGTATCAGCAATGAAAAAAGCAACGGAACGTGTCTTTCAGCTAAATATTGCACAGGATGAAATAAATTCACAAGTTCAACGAATACAAGAAAAAGTAACTGAACGTCTATCACAGCGGATTTTGCCAACACAACCAGCTGTTTTCAAACCAGCACAGCTTCCTTGTGGAGGCTCCGCTTGTCATAAATGTGAGAAATGTCGTGACTGGTACGATACTACAGCTGATCTAGATGATAAGGCACGTCGTCTTCGTAAACTTTCCCTTGGTGGCTTATGTTTCAAAAAGCGTACGGATACAACATGTAATCTTGTTCGTCTTTACGGTCTACTTCATCCGTGCCGATGTACTGATAACAGAGACGATAACGCTGATTGAATGTTTTATTTGAGAGTTTTGAAATAAAATAAATGGTTAATTTCGAATCAGTATTAAACTGTTTAAAGTCATTGTCTTACACCTTGTATCTAAATTCTGTTAGATTGCTATTCTCGTTCTTTATTTGGTATGTACATCTTCCTAAGTTTAGTTAAAACCAACGGCGAGTGGACTCCAGTTCCGAGTCACTGCTATACATTCGTTTTCAATCAAATTAATTTATTTTTGTTATAAATAAAAAGCAGCATAGTTCATACTTTACTCTCAAACTATTCCATAAGCGTGTAACATGGACTTTTGACCCACGAAACTGGCCAACTGTCAGTTATCAATCTGGATTGTATACTTGTCACCTGTATGCGTTCAGCAAATAAATTTAGATACATTGACGAGCCGATTTGTTCACTAATGAGTGTCGTCTTCTAGAACTGAGTCATATGATGATTTCGACACATTTACTGGCACACTTCGGCGAGACAGATTTGCTGATGGCGAAAAATGATTCTCAGATATTCTGTACTAATATTCGTTTATTCCTCTTTCTCTTGTCTGAATTTATCTACAAGTTGTTGTGTGGAATGTGTTCAAGACGATTATTTGTCAAAACTGAAATGAAAATTTGTATGGCGCTCATTTCGCGTCATGCTGATCGAGAATTTATCAATCTTAAGTGTGAATAAACAAGAGAAAGTCTCGTTGAAAATAGTGTTGCTGCTGTTCAATGGTATTGTGGATCGATATCAATCGTTATGACTGTCTGAAGAAAAGAAAAGGCTTTGTCTTGCAGATCGAACTGCGCAACTGAGAACGTAACTCACAATTCTATCTTCCATTGCCCTCTTTTCCAATGGGATTGTTTGTTAAAACTATTGATGTCAATGTCTATATAGATGATTGGCACACTATATTTTGAGAAAATAAATAACTAGCTCACTGTATTGCTCTTTATAGCGTTGGCAAGAAGCCTGGCCCCGACTGCGCCAATATTATTATGGGACAGATTTAACATTCTCAATGTCTACAGTAGAAATAAGTCCAACATCAACAGAAAATATAAACTTCAAAAATACCTCATTATGATAAAGTGCGTTGGTAACGTGTTCGACACCTNGAGTGTGAACGAAAAAATCCAACGCCTCATTGAGAGGCAGGTGAAAGAACAACGAGATCCCGAGCAGCCTGACAAATTACACTCACTGAAAGACGGACATGTATCAGCAATGAAAAAAGCAACCGAACGTGTCTTTCAGCTAAATATTGCACAGGATGAAATAAATTCACAAGTTCAACGAATACAAGAAAAAGTAACTGAACGTCTATCACAGCGGATTTTGCCAACACAGCCAGCTGTTGCCAAATCAGCACAGCTTCTTTGTGGAGGCTCCGCTTGTCATAAATGTGAGAAATGTCGTGACTGGTACGATACTACAGCTGATCTAGATGATAAGGCACGTCGTTTTCGTAAACTTTCCCTTGGTGGCTTATGTTTCAAAAAGCGTACGAATACAACGTGTAATCTTGTTCGTCTGTACGGTCTACTTCATCCGTGTCGATGTACTGATAACAAGGACGATAACGCAGATTGAATGTTGTATTTGAGAGTTTTGAAATAAAATAAATGATTAATTTCGAATCACTATTAAACTGTCTAAAGTCATTGTCTTACATCTTGCATCTAAATTCTGTTAGATTGCTATTCTCGTTCTTTATTTGGTATGTACATCTTTCTAAGTTTAGTTAAAACCAACGGCGGGTGAACTCCAGTTCCGAGTCACTGCTTTACATTCGTTTTCAATCAAATTAATTTGTTTTTATTATAAATAAAAAGCTGCATAGTTCATACTTTACTCTCAAACTATTCCATAAGCGTGTAATATGAACTTTGGACCCACGAAACTGGCCAACTGTCAGTTATCAATCTGGATCATATATTTGGCACTTATATAAGTGCAGCAGATAGATTTCGACACATTTACTGGCGCACTTCAACGCGACAGATTTGCCGACGGCGAAAAATGATTTCCAGATATGTGATACTAATATTCGTTTATTCCTCTTTCTTTTCTCTGAATTTATCTACAGGTTGTTGTGTAGAATGTGTTCAAGACGATTATTTGTCAAAACTGAAATGAAAATTGTATGGCGTTCATTTCGCGTCATGTTGATTGAGAACTTATCATTCTTAAGTGTGAATAATCAAGAGAAGATTTTTATTCTGTTTAATAAAAAGCAAGTCTCGTTGAAAATAGTGTTGCTGCTGTTCAATGGTATTTTGGATCGATATCAATCGTTATGACTGTCTGAAGAAAAGAAAAGGCTTTGTCTTGCAGATCGAACTGCGCAACTAAGAACATAACTCACAATTCTATCTTCCATTGCACTCATTAAGTCTTGTTTGCCCTCTTTTCCAATGGGATTGTTTGTTAAAACTATTGATGTCAATGTCTATATAGATGACTGGCACACTTTATTTTGAGAAAATAAATAACTAGCTCACTGTATTGCTCTTTATAGCGTTGGCAAGAAGCCTGGCCCCGACTGCGCCAATATTATTATGGGACAGATTTAACATTCTCAACATCTACAGTAAAGAAGTAAGTCTAACATCAGCAGAAAATAAACTTCAAAAATACCTCATTGTGATAAAGTGCGTTGGCAATGTGTTCGATACCTTCATCTTCAATTCCATTGTTCTCAAGATTAATTTCGACCAAGCCCTGGAGAAGTATATTTTTCAAAGAAGTTATCTAAGCATCGTACTCATTACCTTATTTTCTTGGAGCATCTCTCCTATGTATTTACTTCCCAATGGTCCAATTTGGGTAGCTCGTAAATTTATCGTTGTCAGTGTCTATAACATATAGCAGTAAAGACGCCAAACAGTGAAAGAAAATCCATACAGAATTTTTTCGCAATGCATGTGACAAGTACATCGCTCCATCTGATTTGATATCATTTGCTCGAAGATTAAGTGTGTTCAATACCTTTTCAATTCAATACAAAACACAATATTCAAAAGAATAGTCAACATACACTTAATTACTTACTGAGTTTTTTTCTAATGCATTTGCTATATATTTCGCACCTTCGAATCCAATAGAATTTAACGCAAGGCTCATTGTTGATAACGTCTATTGAAAAGACTTCATAGTTGCACAAGTAAAAAGGGAAGTATCCTTCACCGTATTATTTTCTAATGCATCTGCTACAAATTTTGCACCTCGGGAATCGATTCCATGTGCATCAAGACTAATGCATTTTAACGTCTATTGTGAACGAAAACATAATATACATCTATTAAAACTTGAGTATGCAAAATACTGTGTTAATTTTCAATGCATCCATTAAATTTTGAATACCAGCTGCACTATGTCGAACACATGGAAGTACTAACGTTTTCATTGCCTATTGAGAGCTAAATTAGATATAACTAGTATTAAAATGGCAATATTACCTTGTTGACGTTCAATATTTTAGCGACATATTGTGCGAGTTCATCTTCTATCGCCTTTAATTGTTAGTCAAATGTAATTAATCTTTGCAAACACAAAAATCTAAGGAAGATTCTACTTACCCCATTCGGTTGTGATTGATTTGACGGTGAACCATCGATTCCAATATCTTCAAAAATCAGCGTTTCTAAGGTCTTGACAGGAAAACATTATTAATTTATTAAAAATAAGTAATAAATAGCAGTTATTACTTCATTGAATCCCAATCCAACAATTAATGATCTTAGTCCTTCAAAAGAAATTTGATTTTTATGAAAGCTGAGATGAATCAGTGACTACAAAAATTTCAAAAGTTAATTGAGAAATCTTACAAAACAAAACGTCAGCTTACCGTATTCCTTGACAGTAAACTGCCTAGGTGGGCGAAGTGCTGCGCTGACAATTGATCACAACGAATACGTAGTGTGTGCAAGTTCTGTAGAAGAGTACTTCACATAATATCTGACAAGTGAAAATATAAATAAACGTACCTTGATATTGAAAATTGCATTTAGCAGGAACATAGCGCCATGAACAAGTTTATTGTTTCCAAGATTAACTGTTGATAATGTCTACATTAGGTTACAATGAAAGGAATACAAATATATCACAATACCCTCACCGTATTATTTTTGAAGGCAGCTTCAAGTATGTGTGCAGCTGCATTTGTCACCGTACAACTGTCAAGTGTAAATTCCTATCGAAAAGTCAATAACCATCATAACACTTGGTGATTGCACTATGTACCTTTTCTAAAAACGTATGTTCTGTACTGTTCGAACAATCTTTTGTCAGCAGACGATAAGTCCCATTTGATGGTGAAGTATCATACCTGATGATTAGCTTCTCATTCCTTGGAGCAATTGGTTTTGTATAAATATTAAGCTCGGATAATGCCAGGATGTAGTCACATGTAACGAGCCACTGTTTCTCAAGAAGCCAAAATGGCGTTTCAAATGGTTGCATCAAGCCATGAAGAGTGCAATCATACGAGGTCTTTTGAGTAACTCGATGGCTGAAGTAAAACTGAAATTTTGTCAGATTTAGTAGCCGGTTCTGAATAAATGGCTCCCAAGTGTGATGGCTCAGTCTGGACTCAATCGCATCCTGCCTCTTTGATATTATGGTAAGATGATTTAATGACGGTGTAAATGACAGAAGAAAATGCAACATCATGTTCGACAACGAACATTCATTTATCGTCAAAAAGAGCAATTGTTGATGACTGATGCTGAAAGTTGACATCATATTCATATTATGACTTTCTACGTCACAATTGTTCATTGTAAGTTGTTGTAGATGAGTACAATTGCTTAAAATAGTAATATATCGAGAAAATACAATTGTATCCACTGTTAAATGTCGTAGAAACGTTGTAACAAGATGCTGCTTTTCCAAGACAAACGTATTGCTCATTTTTGAAATGTCGAAATGAATATTTCGAAGATTCGATTGTGTAACGGCCAACGATAGATAACCTAAGATTACATCATTTGTTACATTACTTTCCTTACAAAATGATATCGATAGATATTTCAATCTAGGAACCGTATGATGAATGAATTCAATCAGTAATTCGTTTGATATCCAATCCAACCGTAATTCTTGAAGACGAATAAAAGTATCGACTTGAAATAAATTGCTAAACGACATTGATGAATCTGATTGCATCCTATTACTGTCAATCAATGATAGCGATGTAACGTTTTCTGGTTTAATCACGTGTTTGACAAGTGCCATATAGGATATGTTCGATGTAGAAAGAATAACTTTATATCGATGGTATGCTTTGGCTGCTTCATATAGTTTAGTGCAGATAGGACGAAGTGTTTTGAGAATCGTTTGAGTATCCAAATTATCAAAAATTTCGAATAAAAGTTCGACGGAGAAGTCTAGTAGAGACACGGTCGACATCGTATGTGCTTCTCTTGTCCAAAAAAAACAAATTTTTCTCCTTGGTTTGCTGTGCGAACAAAAGGTGCGTTTGTATAGACCAGAAAAGAATATAAAAATATAAAGATAAAGACTATATATGGTTGGTGCACGAGGAAAAAGCCAAGCTAACTATACATTTGTATTTGTCTTCCTATTGAAAAAAGAAAAGAAAAAGACACGTAGTATTCGTTGAAATTAATATTTTTCACTTTTTGATAGAGTAAAATCATCCGCACTCTTGCATCTTCGCTCTATATCGTCATTTAGCTTCCCAGCACATATCTGCAAAAGTTTTGAGATTTTTATTTAAAAGTAATCGATCTTATATCAACGTCCAGAGTAATATTTTGATGCCTACTGATAAATTATATAGGAGTAAAGAAACATTATACGAAATCATGTACGTTGAGATCTCTAAAACTACAATTTTGTCCTTTAGCTCTTATCCTTATGCATCGGTAAGTATATAGTTCAGCTATGATATAATGAATTATTGTCATGACAAAGTAGTTTGTTCAAATAAAACAAAGTGATAGTTTATCGAAAGCTTTAACTATCATTATAATGATGTGCGGTTCAGTGATCGAATATCTTCCATCCACTTTTGATATAATCTTGCTCGGTCGCGTGCATCTTTAAGAAATACCAAGTCATTGCTTTTAACGAAAACAACCTCATATGGTTCCAACGAAGTATTTTGAAGACCGCGATCTTTATATGGATTGAAATTTGCATTACAAAAACGATTGTTCGGTTTTGTAAAGTCAATTGTTTGGTATTTTGTTAGTAAACAATCAATCATATAGCCTGCTTCAATTATTCGATTAGACATAGGTATTTCACTGTAAATTGACACATGATCTTTGGTTGGATAACAATGAAATATNAATTTACTCGATTTTTGAATTTGGTGCACCTTATATTTTTCAAAGAAGTTATCTAAGCATCGTACTCATTGCCTTATTTTCTTGGAGCATCTCTCCTACGTATGTCCTCCCCACTGGCCCAATTTGGGTAGCTCGTAAATTTGTCGCTGTCAGTGTCTATAACATATATAAAAGTAAAGACGCCAAACAGTGAAAGAAAATTCATACAGAATTTTTTCGCAATGCATGTGACAGGTGCATCGCTCCATCTGATTTGATATCATTTGCTCGAAGATTAAGTGTGTTCAATACCTTTTCAATTCAATACAAAACACAATATTCAAAAGAATAGTCAAAATACACTTAATTACTTACTGAGTTTTTTTTAATGCATCTGCTACAAATTTTGTACCCCTGGAATCAATTCCATGTGCATCAAGACTAATGCATTTTAACGTCTATCGTGAACGGAAATATAATATACATCTATTCAAACTTGAGTATGTAAAATACTGTGTTAATTTTCAATGCATCCATTAAATTTTGAATACCAGCTGCACTATGTCGGACACATGGAAGTACTAACGTTTTCATTGCCTATTGAGAACTGAATTAGATATCACTAGCATTAAAATAGCAATATTACCTTGTTGACGTTCAATATTTTGGCGAAATATTGTGCGAGTTCATCTTCTATCACCTTTAATTGTTAGTCAAATGTAATCAATCTTTGCAAGCGCAAAAATCTAGAAAAGATTCTACTTACCCCATTCGGTTGTGATTGACTTGACGGTGAACCATCGATTCCAATATCTTCAAAAATCAGCGTTTCTAAGGTCTTGACAGGAAAACATTATAAATTTATTAAAAATAAGTAATAAATAGCAGTTATTACTTCATTGAATCCCAATCCAACAATTAATAATCTTAGTCCTTCAAAAGAAATTTGATTTTTATGAACGCTGAAATTGATCAGTGACTACGAAAATTTCAAAAATTAATTGAGTAATCTTACAAAACAAAACGTCAGCTTACCGTATTCCTTGACAGTAAACTACCTAGGTGAGCGAAGTGCTGCACTGAGAATTGATCACAACGAATACGTAGCGTGTGCAAGTTCTGTAGAAGAGTACTTCACATAATATCTGACAAATGAAAATATAAATAAACGTACCTTGATATTGAAAATTTCATTTAGCAGGAACATAGCGCTATGAACAAGTTTATTGTTTCCAAGATTAACTGTTGATAATGTCTACATTAGGTTACAATGAAAGGAATACAAAAATATCACAATACCCTCACCGTATTATTTTTGAGGGCAGCTCCAAGTATGTGTGCAGCTGCATTTGTCACTGTACAACTGTCAAGTGTAAATTCCTATCGAAAAGTCAGCCATCATAACACTTAGTGATTGCACTATGTACCTTTTCTAAAAACGTATGTTGTGTACTGTTCGAACAATCTTTTGTCAGCAGACGATAAGTCCCATTTGACGGTGAAGTATCATACCTGATGATTATCTTCTCATCCCTTGGAGCAATTGGTTTTGTATAAATATTAAGCTCGGATAATGTCAGAATGTACTCACATGTAACGAGCCACTGTTTGTCTGGAAGCCAAAATGGCGTTTCAAATGGATGCATCATGCCATGAAGAGTGCAATCATACGAGGTCTTTTGAGTAACTCGATGGCTGAAGTAAAATTGAAATTTTGTCAGATTTAGTAACCGGTTCTGAATAAATGGCTCTCAAGTGTGATGTTCCAGTTTGGACTCAATCTCATCCTGCCTCTCTGATATGATGGTAAGATGATTTAATGACGGTAAATGACAGGAGAAAATGCAACATCATGTTCGACAACGAACATTCATTTATCGTCAAAAAGAGCAATTGTTGATAACTGATGCTGAAAGTTGACATCATTTTCATATTATGACTTTCTACGTCACAATTGTTCATTGTAAGTTGTTGTAGATGAGTACAATTGCTTAAAATAGTAATATATCGAGAAAATACAATTTTATCCACTGTTAAATGTCGTAGAAATGTTGTAACAAGGTGCTGTTTTTCCAAGACAAACGTATTGCTCATTTTTGAAATATCGACATGAATATTTCGAAGATTCGATTGTACAAGGGCCAACGATAGATTACCTAAGATTACATCATTTGTTACATTACTTTCCTTACAAAATGATATCGATAGATATTTCAATCTAGGAACCGTATGATGAATGAATTCAATTAGTAATTCGTTTGATATCCAATCCAACCTTAATTCTTGAAGACGAATAAAAGTATCGGCTTGAAATAAATTGCTAAACGACATTGATGAATCTGATTGCATCCTATTACTGTTAATCAATAATAACGATGTAATGTTTTCTGGTTTAATCACGTGTTTGACAAGTGCCGTGTAGGATATGCTCGATGTAGAAAGAATAACTTTATATCGATGGTATGCTTTGGCTGTTTCATATAGTTTAGTGCAGATAGGACGAAGTGTTTTGAGAATCGTTTGAGTATCCAAATTATCAAAAATTTCGAATAAAAGTTCGACGGAGAAATCTAGTAGAGACACGGTCAACATCGTATGTGCTTCTCTTGTCTAAAAAAAACAAATTCTTCTCCTTTTTTTGCTGTGCAAACAAAAGGTGCGTTTATATCAACTAGAAATAAATATAAAAATATAAAGAGACACGTGGTATTCGTTGAAATTAATATTTTTCACTTTTTCATAGAGTAAAATCATCCGCACTCTTGCATCTTCGATCTATATCGTCATTTAGCTTCATAGCACATATCTGCAAAAGTTTAGAGATTTTTATTTAAAAGTAATCGATCTTATATCAACGCCCAGAGTAATATTTTGATGCTTACTGATAAATTATATAGGAGTAAAGAAATATTATACGAAATCATGTACGTTGAGACCTCTAAAACTACAATTTTGTCCTTTAGCTCTTGTTCTTATGCATCGGTAAGTATATAAGTCAGCTTTGATATAATAAATTATTGTCATGAAAAAGTGGTTTGTTCAAATAAAACAAAGTGATAGTTTATCGAAAGCTTTAACTATCATTATAATGATGTGCGGTTCAGTGATCGAATATCTTCCATCCACTTTTGATATAATCTTGCTCGATCGCGTGCATCTTTAAGAAATACCAAGTCATTGCTTTTAACGAAAACAACCTCATATGGTTCCAATGAAGTATTTTGAAGACCACGATCTTTATATGGATTGAAATTCGCATTACAAAAACGATTGTTCGGTTTTGTAAAGTCAATTGTTTGGTATTTTGTTAGTAAACAATCAATCATATAGCCTGCTTCAATTATTCGATTGGACATAGGTATTTCACTGTAAATTGACACATGATCTTTAGTTGGATAACAATGGAATATTCCGTCCTTGGTTGTTCCGCCCGAAGTGCCTGGTTTTGATATTAATGAGAAACCGGTAGAATCTGTAACTAGGAAATAGGACTGGACATGTGGGACTGCTTCGCAACTTATTGTACAGCCGACCAGTTTAATTTTACTATTAATACGTCTGGTAAAGACTGAGTACCAGTAGTAGTTGAGATTTGCTTTTAAAACTAAGTGAATAAAATACGGTGGAAAGAAAGGACCACGAATAGATGAATTCATAAAAATAAAGTATTTGTATTTTCTTAGATTAACCGGATTTGCGATTGCTGGTGATGTTTGTTTCCAAGGATGTCCAATTGTATAGGTGTCAAAGAACCATCCGATGGTTCCATAATCGAAACATTTATTTTCATGTTGAAGATAGAATGCATTGGATTTGGGTATTGGTGGCATTGTACTTTCATTGATTGGCTTCTTCTCGATTTGTTGTAAAATAAAATAATAATCGATACCATCGTTTTCTCGAACAGCTTCTTCAATAAAATACTTCAAATTTCCATAAGCATAGGAATGAGTATTTGCATAGACATAGATCAATAAAATTTCACTTGGTTTACTGACATCTAAAAGAAAAGACATGCCAGAAGCCACGTTTAACTCGTTTCTAATCGGCTTACTGCGATTATCAGCAAAAATGTGTTGATTGATTTGATTTGTGATACTAGGTATACGCTCTTCATAACGACAAATTAGAAATACGATAATCGTAATGAAAATGATCACTTTCGCTTTATTACGTTTGCTCCATTCGATCAGCTGATAAAGAAACATTTGTATATTTTGTATAGGGAAAAAAAGGATATAGAAATGCAACTGTTTCTCGTTAGTATGAAACATAAAATAAAACCATTTTTTTCTATTCTAGCGTGCTTACTTTGATGCATTCAAAGTATAGTAGAAAAAAGAAAGAGTCGTAGTGTTCATTGATGCAACTACGTCGGATTTTTCTCATAAATGCCAAGAGAACGACAAAAGAACGGCTTGTTGCCAACAAGTTCCATCTGTTGAGGAAAAATATTGTGTAGAATATCATAGAAGCCTATTACTTTTTTTTCTTTATTAAATAGTTTACTCAGTAGGACAAAACGTGAACTACCTTGAAGAAAAATATGTAAGAAGTATCGTCAAATGTGTATTAGAAATATTCTCCTGGCCAGATCGTTGTTTTTCCATTCACTGCCTCAAAAGTTGTTTTGATAGTCTGATACTGTTCATCTGACAAGCCAATATTTCGCAGCATAACATCCTCGTTTTCTTCGAAAATCAAATTATTATCGTCGTTCCATCCAAGCGATTGTAACGTTGTATATTGAGGAAGCGTGTGTAAGAGAAAGCTGTTTTGACGATATCGTCGATATATTTCTACTGCAGCTATTTCAAGTAATGTTTTTTCGGTATCGTGATCAAATGCACGATATTCAGTAATTGAAACAGGACAACCCTTTCCGTCAGCGTGGCTAATGACTATGTAGCCTTTATGATCTGGTGAGATGTATAGAAAGGCAGAACTTTCTTTCCAGTGCCAACCAATCCAATGTTCGAACAGTGACGAAGAACAACGATCAAATTGATATGGGCGAGGATGTGTTGAATAAATTTCCAATAGTTTATCGTAAGAAGAGACAGAACATGCTGGTATCCATAATCTGTTTTCACTCTCAGTAGATAAATCATTTCTCTTCAAATTAATAACGTATTGAATACGACTTCGTAATGGTTTCCATCCTAGTTTTAAGTAATGCTGAGGTTGACCTGTTCCTAACATGGATAAAGAAAAGTTCTCTCGCTCCATTTTCTCGATTGCTTGCGAAAGTAGTTGTTTTGATAAACCTTGATTTCGAAATTCGACATCCGTAGCAACATTCGAAATTACACCACAAAGAAATGTCTCATTTTTGTCTGATATCAATATTGAACGACGAATTTGTACAATACTAACCAATCGATCATCATGTGCCCACGCTCCTAACGTATCTCCTTCTCGATAGTCCGGTGATGCTTGAGATGAAAAAAATCGCTCGAAATAGCCATCACTCTTTGCTTCAAATACAGATTGCCATAATTCAATTGCTTTTCTCTGCTCATTTTGCAGAACGGGACGATATGTAATGGAGGAAGTTCTTTCCATTACAAGTATTGTACAAATATTATATTCTTATTTTCGATTTAGATGACATACCTTGTTTAATTTTCTAATAAGCACATAAACCAATCATAATATTCCATACATAGATGTCATGAATGGATTGAAGTGAGAGACTACTATGAAGAAATCACAAAACAGTTCTATCAACATACATCAAAATCATCTAAAGATTCGATTTTCTGTTAATAGTTCAGTACTGTACGGAATATCATTGAATAAAGTTCATCATTCCACAACTTTACAGTAGCTAGGCCATTAGGGATGTGAAATTGTTGATCTAATTCGGTAAACAATGGAATAACTATCAAGCTATTTATCAAATATACCTAGAAGGTCGTGAACATGTCGCTACTAAGAAAAATAGCAAGTGCGAAATAGGAACTATAGCTTCTATTTTGGAATACAATAATGAAGTCTATTCAAACAGATGTTTTCGTAATCAGCCATTCAAGTTGACCAACTATATACACAAATTACTATTTCGATTGAATGTCAAATCGTTTGGAGACGATAAATGATCCGTTTTAATGTTCAAACTCAATCAAACCAAGCAATCGGTACAAATGATATTTTCTATATGCTGTCTACCGAAAATGAATGCTTAAAATCAGAATTCTTCCATTTCGTTCTTTATCCTTCAGACGCACTTTCAAATGCATCATAAACGAATTTTCTTTCACGTGGACGACTGTTTACTCTCTGTTTAAACAACAAATGCAGTTTTTCCTCCATTTTTACTGATACGAATATTTAATATGTCAATTAAGTTTAGAAAGATATTTCTCTTGTTAATCATTTCTGGAATATTTATAAGTTCAGTTCTATTTAGTCAACATTTAAATTCTGCGATCTCTCATCAAATACGGTCATTGAATTTAAAACAATTTTGGATTCCATCCAATACAAAAATAAATGCTCTCTTACGTAGTAATATCATATTTGAAACATATAGATATCTTATTCGAATCCATCAAAACCTCGAAACCAAGGTTGAGTGTGTTGGTTCTTTTAAGAACCAATCATGTCTTTTCAAGAATTTGTATTATGTTAATCGAACATTTTGGATTTTAACTACGAAGAAAACAACTTTCCCGTTACCGAGCGTTCGAACCGGAGCAATAGTTTCATCACTGCTTACACCAAGCCGTCGCCGATTCTATATTTATAAAGATCTGGAAGAATTTGTCCAAAAATACGTTCAACCGATTGTCATTCCTAAGTTGACTGTTCATTTTGATCAGATATGGCTAATGAACATTGGTCACGCTCTTTTCGATGGACTCTATCCAGCTTATCTCGCTTTAATACGCTTTTCGCCTCGACATTTGCAATCATTTCGTATTTTACTTAGTACGAGTGGCTATAACGGCAATCATTCATTTAGTCGAGAAGTTTACGATCGTTTTGCTGGATTGGATACGCTCAATGCGAGCATTTTAGAAGATATGTCTATTGGGCAGTGGTTTGCATTCGAAGAATTTATTATGGGGAGTGGAGATATGTGTCAGCGTTGTCTACAACCGAATCTTCAACTGCCCGGAGGAATCGAACTGAATGGATCGCGACTCTTTCGAGAACGAATGTATAAACAACATGGTTTGATGTCACCTACTCTTAGAGAAAAACATTCCGCCGTACGACGTAATCCCAACAGATCACTTCATGCTGTCATTGTGGATAATAAACGATTTACTAGTCGTGATCGCGTTGAAATGAGTGCTGCTATTCATGAAATTAATACACATAGAACTACAAATACATCTTGGCCAGCAATACATGTTTCTTATATTAGTTATTCGGAAGCGTCCCCAATTAATGATGATACTCCGATTATAGAGTCAAAATTCCTTGATGATAATATTAAAATGAAACAACATCTTAAATTGTTACAAAACATCGATATTCATATTACAGGACCTGGAACAGGACAGATGTATCAGACATTCCTTGCTGATGGATCTGTAAATATAAAGCTCGGTGGATTACATTATATTAAACGTAATGCAACCTTTGATAAATACCCATTCTTTATGGAACAATACATGACGAGTGGAGCACCGTATATTAGAGGGCTTTATTATCCCATTGATCAAAGAGCAATTGGTATTCGAAAGAAGATCCTTGTTGAGCTTATTCGAGAGGCTGCACAATTGATTATGAATGGTTTCACGATTCCGGTGAATCCGCGTGATAATTTATCAGTATACGGCCATTTATTTATTGAAATGTGTGAAATGGANTTCAGTGTATGAAGTGTTACAAGGAGAAGGACTGAAAGTTCGCGTTGCTTATCCGCCGTTTTTAGTCATTGCAGACGTTTCGCATCCGTCATCCGTGAATCCATACCGTGGTATCGATCGACTTCCAATGCATGAGCGTGCGGAATTGCATAAGTGGAATCTGGAAGATTATCCTATGTCGGAAATGTCAATAGAAATAGATCAAGAAAAAGAGTAACCAAATAAGAGTTCTTTTTTCTTCGTTTCGATAAAAAATGAAAGAAAGTGTGAAATACAAATCAGTCAGTAAGCCTTTTCGCTTTGACTGCAATCAATCGATATAAAGATTCATTGCTCTTTCTTCAGCATTTCCACGCATAGGAGTGCGTTTGACACTCATTATATGTATATACTGACAATCGATAGTCAATCAAAAGATTAAGGAGTTGGACTGTGTGTTTGATGCTTTAATACAAAAGTCAAGCTGATCGTGAGTTGTTAGCACAAAGTTATTGTGCCATTGATTGGCTAAGTATTGAGTATCGAATAAGTACACGTTTAGTACGCGTTTTGTCTGAGAGTACTATGTATTGGTGATGTTTTTGAGCCAATCATTTATGTACTGGGAAGACATTTCGCACTTAGTTTATTCTTTATAGAGCTTTTTGAGTTGTGATAGTTTCGTATAGAGCTATATGGCACCAATCGCACGTTTGAAAGAGAAAGAAAAATATTTTCAGACAATGTTTGCACAACAGTAGAAGTTGTGATGGATGATCTTTTTCTTTTGTATTTTGTCACAGAAAGAAGAAAAGTCGTTTACATGTGCGACAACGTTAAATTCGTTCGCAACAACAAGATTGTCAAACTTTCTTTCAAGATTACCATTTACTATTTTCGATACATTTGTTTTACACCACAGGAGCGCGTTCGGTTTTAATTTCAATGCTGAACATCAAATGGTTCAGAGACTCAATTGGTGTAGCACGTCAACCAAAATTGCGACTATTTTGCGTTCTTCTTTTCCTGAAAGTCTCGATCGTCATACTTTACTATTTCACCATAAGATGCAAGTCATTGATCTGTTGGTCAATTCAACTGACTCCATCTTACGTTATTTCACTGCCTGGCCAAGAAGAACGAGTAGCGAATATGAAAGGCTTGTTTAAGAAATACGCCAATCTCGATGTTAGCCCATTCTATGGTGTTGACGGCAGAAAAATCTATACCGGAGCAGAAGGGAAATATTTATTACCTGGAGAAATTGGACTACGTGATTCAATGAAGAATATCTACATGATAGCAATAGAAAAGAAGTATAAAGCAATGTTTGTTTTTGAAGATGATGCTATTCCACATCGAAATTTTACAAAACTATTCGAAAATCTACCTGAACGATGTCGAGAAGCGAACGTCCTTCTGTTAGGTGCTCTGGTTTTGTATACCAATCGCAAGCGTTGGCCATTTGGTCCCTGCTTTGATGCTGATAAAAGAACTTATGGTTCACATGCTCTGTATGTAAAAGATTCTGCATTCAAACCAATTGTGAATTGGTTAATGGAAACCGAGATAGGTCCATTTGATACAGTATATCAACATCTTCAACACCAAGGACTGAAAGTTCGAGTAGCATATCCACCGTTCCTAAGCATTCAAAATCTCAATCATCAATCTTCAGTACACGACTATCGAGCAATTGACAGACTCAACATTACACAACGAGCAGAAGTGCACAATTGGGATCTGAAAGATTATCCCACATCTTTAGAATCTGAAGACGATTGAAATTGCTCTGTTTTAGAATAGAGTACGGTGACTCGTGACTACATGTTGTAAGTGCGTCTAAGTGAAATTGTGAGTACGTGCAAAATAAAAAAAAATCAGATTNGTAAAGACTGAGTACCAGTAGTAGTTGAGATTTGCTTTTAAAACTAAGTGAATAAAATACGGTGGAAAGAAAGGACCACGAATAGATGAATTCATAAAAATAAAGTACTTGTATTTTCTTAGATTAACCGGATTTGCGATTGCCGGTGATGTTTGTTTCCAAGGATGTCCAATTGTATAGGTGTCAAAGAACCATCCGATGGTTCCATAATCGAAACATTTATTTTCATGTTGAAGATAGAACGCATTGGATTTGGGTATCGGCGGCATTGTACTTTCATTGATTGGCTTCTTCTCGATTTGTTGTAAAATAAAATAATAATCGATACCATCGTTTTCTCGAACAGCCTCTTCAATGAAATACTTCAAATTTCCAAAAGCATAGGAATGCGTATTTGCATAGACATAGATCAATAAAATTTCACTTGGTTTACTGTCATCTAAAAGAAAAGACATGTCAGAAGTTGCGTTTAACTGGTTTCTAATCGGCTTACTGCGATTGTCAGCAAAAATATGTTGATTGATTTGATTCGTGACGATAAATATATGCTCTTCATAACGATAAATTAGAAATAAGATAATCGTAATGAAAATGATCACTTTCGCTTTATTACGTTTGCTCCATTCTATCAGCTGATAAAGAAACATTTGTATATTTTGTATAGGAAGAAAAAAAATGGATCTAGAAATGCAACTGTTTCTCGTTAGTATGAAACATAAAATAAAATTACTTTTTCTGTTCTAGCATGCTTACTTTGATGCATTCAAAGTATAATAGGAAAAAGAAAGAGTCGTAGTGTTCATCGGTGCAACTACGTCGGACTTTTTCTTATGGATGTCAAGAGAACGACAAAAGAACGGCTTGTTGCTAAGAATGTTTCATCTGTTGAGGAAAAAATATTGTGTAGAATATTATAGAAGACTATTGCTTTTTTTCCTTTATTAAACAGTTTACTAAGCAGGACAAAACGTAGAGTACCTTGAAGAAAAATATGTAAGAAGTATAACCAAATGTACGTTAGTAATATTCCTCTGGCCAGATCGTTGTTTTTCCATCCACTGCCTCAAAAGTTGTTTTGATTGTCTGATACTGTTCATCTGACAAGCCAATATTTCGTAGCATAACATCTTCGTTTTCTTCGAAAATCAAATTATTATCGTCGTTCCATCCAAGCGACTGTAACGTTGTATACTGAGGAAGTGTGTGTAAGAGAAAGCTGTTTTGACGATATCGTCGATATATTTCTACTGCAGCTGTTTCAAGTAATGTTTTTTCGGTATCGTGATCAAATGCACGATATTCAGTAATTGAAACAGGACAACCCTTTCCGTCAGCGTGACTAATTACTATGTAGCCTTTGTAATCTGGTGACATGTATAAAAAGGCAGAACCTTCTTTCCAATGCCAGCCAATCCAATGTTCGAACAGTGACGAAGAACAACGATCGAATTGATATGGGCGCGGATGTGTTGAATAGATTTCCAACAGTTTATCATAAGAAGAGACAGAACACGCTGGTATCCATAATCTGTTTTCACTCTCAGTAGATAGATCATTTCTCTTCAAATTAATAACGTATTGAATACGACTTCGTAATGGTTTCCATCCTAGTTTTAGGTAATGTTGAGGTTGACCTGTTCCTAACATAGATAAAGAAAAGTTCTCTCGCTCCATTCTCTCGATTGCTTGCAAAAGTAGTTGTTTTGATAAACCTTGATTTCGAAATTCGACATCCGTAGCAACATTCGAAATTACACCACAAAGAAATGTCTCATTTTTATCTGATATCAATATTGAACGACGAATTTGTACAATACTAACCAGTCGATCATCATATGCCCACGCTCCTAACGTATCTCCTTCTTGATAGTCCGGTGATGCTTGAGGTGAAAAAAATCGCTCGAAATATCCATCACTCTTTGCTTCAAATACAGACTTCCATAGTTCAAGTGCTTTTGTCTGCTCCTTTTGCAGAACGGGACGATATGTAATGGAGGAAGTTCTTTCCATTACAATTATTGTACAAATATTATATTCTTATTTTCGATTGAGATGGCTTACCTTGTTTAATTTTCTGGTAAGTACATAAACCAATCATAATATTCTATAGATAGATGTCATCAATAGATTGGATTGAGAGACTACTATGAAGAAATCTCAAAACAGTAAAGATTCGATTTTCTGTTGATAGTTCAGTACTATACGGAATATCATTGAATGAAATTCATTGTTGGGGATGTGAAATTGATGATCTAATTCGGTAAATAATGGCAATAACTATCAAGCTATTCGTCAAATATACCCAGAAAGTCGTCAACATGTCGCCACTAAGAAAAATAGTAAGTGGGAAATATGAACTATAGCTTTCTGTTTTTGGATGTTTCTTTTTTGTAATACAGTAATGAAATCTATTCAAACAGATATTTTTGTAATCAGCCATTGAAGTTGACCAACTATATACACAAATTACTATTTCGACTGAATGTCAAATCGTCTGGAGACGATAAATGATTCGTTTTGATGCTTGAATTCAATCAAAACGAGTCTCATATATTTCATCGCTGTGATCCAAGAGAGCGACCAGTTTTCTGTCCTCATAATAAACTTTTCTTTTTGGCTAATGATAATGAATATCTAATTATTTCTCTTGTTTGCTTGAGTGTGTGATCAAACCAAGCAATCGATACAAATGATATTATCGAAAATGAATGCTTAAAATCATAATTCTTCCATTTCGTTCTTTATCCTTCAGACGCACTTTTAAATGCATTATAAACAATTTTTCTTTCACGTGGACGACTATTTACTCTCTGTTTAAACAACAAATGCAGTTTTTCCTCCATTTTTGACTGATAAGAGTATTTAATATGTCAATTAAATTTACAAAGATATTTCTATTGTTAATCATTTCTGGAATATTTATAAGTTCAGTTCTATTTAGTCAACATTTGAATTTTACGATCTCTCATCAAATACGATCATTAAATTTAAGTCAGTTTTGGATCCTATCCAATACAAGAATAAATGCTCTCTTACGCAGTAATATCATATTTGAAACATACAGATATCTTATTCGAATCCATCAAAACCTCGAAACCAAGGTCGAATGTGTTGGTTCTATTAAAAACCAATCATGTCTTTTCAAGAATTTGTATTATGTTAATCGGACATTTTGGATTTTAACTACGAAGAAAACAACTTTTCCGTTGCCGAGCGTTCGAACTGGAGCAATGGTTTCATCACTGCTTACACCAAGCCGTCGTCGATTCTATATTTATAAAGATCTCGAAGAATTTGTCCAAAAATACGTTCAACCGATTGTCATTCCTAAGTTGACTGTTCATTTTGATCAGATATGGCTAATGAATATTGGTCACGCCCTTTTCGATGGACTCTATCCAGCTTATCTCGCTTTAATACGCTTTTCGCCTCGACATTTGCAATCATTTCGTATTTTGCTTAGCACGAGTGGTTATAACGGCAATGATTCATTTAGTCGAGAAGTTTACAATCGTTTTGCTGGATTGGATACGCTGAATGCGAGCATTTTAGAAGAGATGTCTATTGGACAGTGGTTTGCATTTGAAGAATTTATTATGGGGAGTGGAGATATGTGTCAACGTTGTCTACAACCGAATCTTCAACTGCCCGGAGGAATCGAACTGAACGGATCGCAACTTTTTCGAGAACGAATGTATAAGCAACATGGTTTGATGTCACGTACTCTTAGGCAAAAACATTCCGCCGTACGACGTAATTCCAACAGATCACTTCACGCTGTTATTGTGGATAATAAACGATTTACTAGTCGTGATCGAGTTGAAATGAGTGCTGCTATTCATGAAATTAATACATATAGAAATACAAACACATCTTGGCCAGCAATACATGTTTCTTATATTAGTTACTCGGAAGCATCCCCAATTAATGATGATACTCCAATTATAGAGCCAAAATTCCTTGATGATAATATTAAAATGAAACAACATCTTAAATTGTTACAGAACATCGATATTCATATTACAGGACCTGGAACAGGACAGATGTATCAGACATTCCTTGCTGATGGATCTGTAAATATAAATCTCGGTGGATTACATTATATTAAACGTAATGCAACCTTTGATAAATACCCATTCTTTATGGAACAATACATGACGAGTGGAGCACCGTATATTAGAGGACTCTATTATCCCATTGATCAACGAGCAATTGGTATTCGAAAGAAGATCCTTGTTGAGCTTATTCGAGAGGCTGCGCAATTGATTATGAATGGTTTCACGATTCCGGTGAATCCACATGATAATTTATCAGTGTACGGCCATTTATTTATTGAAATGTGTAAAATGGATAACAAATTTTGTCGAATAGTAACAGATCGATGGGAAGACAATAACTTTTGGTGTTTTAGTACATGGCCTGAATCAATTATCTATGAAGATGGGCCATGGTCACTACAAGGTATTGTCGACGATGATAGAAATGTGACTTGTTCATACAATCGAACATTATTATATGAATTAAAACGAAAATATAATATTACTGAAAGATCTGAAGCACTTTCTATAGAACAATAAAATACCTTGAAGCTTTTAATTCTCATTCTGTTTTACAGTCGGGTATAAACCATCAATATAATGAGCTCTTTTCGTGGTGACCATAAAACAAAATTAGAAAGAATGATAGTGGTGTATTTCTATTCTCGATGACAAATCTTGTGATTCGGATTGACTTAGAATTAAACAACATGCGAAGTTGTATAGCTCGAATCCGTAGAAGATAACTTCATGCCAGAAATGTCCGCAAAAAAATCGAAAAAGAAATCTAGCAAAATAAAATTTCTTTTCATTCCGGTCTGTCGGCATGTTTTGTTTCTTTAACTGCAAATAATGGATAGAAGAATTCGTCGCTTCTCTTCCAAGGTTTGTTCTATTTACTGAAGATATTTTATCGTCTTATTTATTCGTTGCATCTTATACAAAATTAGAAAGTTGTAGTTCCATTGATTCACTAATGTGCAGCTACTCTACAGAAGTTTGCCTGAAAGAATGTTTTTAAAACACAGCGTGTTCGATCGATTAAGAAAACAACGACGCATGTTATGATGGATAAATTCTCTCTTTCATCTTTTGTTCGAGAAAAGAAGGGAACGAGATGCGCACATTAACCGAAGATGTCGATAGAAATTGCTTTGAGAATGATGATCGGTTTTTGAAAAATCTCCATTAACTTATTATAATTTCAATATGCATTTGCTTCTTTTCTACAGAGGGACACGTTGGATCTTTATCTCGATGCTAAACGTCAAATGGCTTGAAGACAACGTTAGTGCGATTCGACAATCAAAACCACGATTATTTGGCGCTTTTCTTCTCCTGAAAGTCTCGATCATTGTATTGTATTATTTTGCCACACGATGCAAATCGTTAACCTGTTGGTCGATCAAACCAACTCCATGTTACGTTATTACACTACCTGGTCAAGAAGAACGAGTAGCGAATATGAAAGGCTTGTTTAAGAAATACGCCAATCTCAATGTTAGTCCATTCTATGGTGTTAACGGCAGGAAAATGTATACCGGAGCAGAAGGGAAATATTTATTGCCTGGAGAAATTGGATTACGTGATTCAATGAAGAATATCTACACGATGGCGATAGAAAAGAAGTATAAAGCAATGTTTGTTTTTGAAGATGATGCTATTCCACACCGAAATTTTACAAAACTATTCGAAAATCTGCCTGAACGATGTCGAGAAGCGGACGTCCTTCTGTTAGGTGCAACGCTTAATTATTCAAAGAAAAGAAAGTTGTGGGAAAAAGCTTGTTTCGATGTGCCTAAAGTAGCTTGGGGTGCATTTGCTTTATATGTGAAAAGCACAGCATTCAAGCCAATTGTGGATTGGTTAATGGAAATGGATCTGAATCCATTTGATTCAGTGTATGAAGTGTTACAAGGAGAAGGACTGAAAGTTCGCGTTGCTTATCCGCCATTTTTAGTCATTGCAGACGTTTCGCATCCGTCATCCGTGAATCCATACCGTGGTATCGATCGACTTCCAATGCATGAGCGTGCGGAATTGCATAAGTGGAATCTGGAAGATTATCCTATGTCGGAAATGTCAATAGAAATAGATCAAGAAAAAGAGTAACCAATTAAGAGTTCTTTTTTCTTCGTTTGGATAAAGTATGAAAGAAAGTGTGAAATACAAATCGGTCAGTAAGCCTTTTTGCTTCGATTGCAATCAATCGATATAAAGATTCATTGCTCTTTCTTCAGCATTTCCACATATAGAAGCGCGTTCGACACTCATTATATCTATACTGACAATCGATTGTCAATCAAACGATTGAGGAGTTGGACTATTTGCTTGATGCTTTGATACAAAAATCAATCTGATCATGAGTTGTTAGCGCAAAGTTGTTGTGCCATTGATTGACTTAGTATTAAGTATCGAATAAGTACACGTTTAATACGCGTTTTGTCTAATAGTAATTCCTATACGTTGATGATGTTTTTTGAGCCAATCATTTGTGTACTGAGAAGATATTTCGCACTTAGTTTATTCTTTATAGAGCTTTTTGAGTTGTGATTATTTCGTATAGAGTTATATGGCACCAAGCGCGCATTTGAAAGAGAAAGAAAAATATTTCAGACAATGTTTGCACAACAGTAGAAATTGTGACGGATGAACTTTTTCTTTTGTATTTTGTCACAGAAAGAAGAAAGTGGTTTACATGTGCGACAACGTTACATTCGTTCGCCACAACAAGATTACCATTTATTATTTTCGATACATTTGTTTTACATCATAAGAGTGCGTTCGGTTGTAATTTCAATGCTGAACACCAAATGGTTCGAAGACTCAATTGGTGTATTACGTCAATCAAAATTGCGACTATTTTGCGTTCTTCTTTTCCTAAAAGTCTCGATCATTATACTTTCCTATTTCACCATACGATGCAAGTCGTCGATCTGTTGGTCAATTCAACTGACTCCATCTTACGTTATTACACTACCTGGTCAAGAAGAACGAGTAGCAAATATGAAAGGCTTGTTTAAGAAATACGCCAATCTCAATGTTAGTCCATTCTATGGTGTTAACGGCAGGAAAATGTATACCGAAGCAGAAGGGAAATATTTATTGCCTGGAGAAATTGGATTACGTGATTCAATGAAGAATATCTACACGATGGCTATAGAAAAGAAGTATAAAGCAATGTTTGTTTTTGAAGATGATGCTATTCCACACCGAAATTTTACAAAACTATTCGAAAATCTGCCTGAACGATGTCGAGAAGCGGACGTCCTTTTGTTAGGTGCTCTGGTTTTGTATACCAACCGCAAGCGTTGGCCATTTGGTCCCTGCTTTGATGCTGATCAAAGAACTTATGGTTCACATGCTTTGTATGTAAAAGATTCTGCATTCAAACCAATTGTAAATTGGTTAATGGAAACCGAGATAGGTCCATTTGATACAGTATATCAACATCTTCAACACCAAGGACTGAAAGTTCGAGTAGCACATCCACCGTTCCTAAGCATTCAAAATCTCAATCATCACTCTTCAGTGCACGACTATCGAGCAATTGACAGACTCAACATTACACAACGAGCAGAAGTGCACAATTGGGATCTGAAAGATTATCCCACATCTTTAGAATCTGAAGACGATTGAAATTGCTCTGTTTTAGAATAGAGTACGGTGANACATCTTCAACACCAAGGACTGAAAGTTCGAGTAGCATATCCACCGTTCCTAAGCATTCAAAATCTCAATCATCAATCTTCAGTACACGACTATCGAGCAATTGACAGACTCAACATTACACAACGAGCAGAAGTGCACAATTGGGATCTGAAAGATTATCCCACATCTTTAGAATCTGAAGACGATTGAAATTGCTCTGTTTTAGAATAGAGTACGGTGACTCGTGACTACATGTTGTAAGTGCGTCTAAGTGAAATTGTGAGTACGTGCAAAATAAAAAAAAATCAGATTCTTAGTTTTTTGGAATTGATTGAATTTCAACATGCGTCCTGTACTTTTGATTGCATATCTACGCAAACAAATATTTTGCTTCTTTTTGTTGATAAAAACATGCGTATATAAGATATAGTGGGTAAAAAGCTTTTCAAGAGCAGAAGATAATACAGTATATTATTACATTAAGATTTGTTGATAAAAGGAGTAACCTTTATTTTCATGATGAACGACGTGTATCTCGAAATGACACATGAAATAAAGTTCATGAAAATTTTGATATAGGTTTGGATTTTAGGTAATGAGTCATACCAGGGTAAGATTTATGCGGGTGTAAATCAGTTGCATTTGTCGTTGCAGCCTGAACCTGATATAGAGAATTTTCGCTTGATTTTCAGCGTGGTCTGAATCAGGACGATTGGAATTAGAAGATTTTGGTCCAGGACAATTTATATAAAATTATAGCACAATGTGTGAAGCAGCATAGACTTATTCAAAAAAAAGGACACCAAATTATGAATAGTGTCTCATTTGATGTTGTCCATGCAATCGATCAGAGTTCCCAAGTCATTTTACAAGAAATATTTTATCGAGAGCTGTGGTGTATAAACAAAAGATCAGAAATGATTTGCCTAATCCAAATTTAAATTGACGTTCGCTAATTATCCTATTTTCATAAGATCGAAAATGAAGCCACCACAACAACAATTCACAAGTGTTGAAGGTCATCAGGGAAAAAACACAATTAAAACTTGTTTTCTTGTTGTGATGCGAAGGATGGAAGTGTGTGCGAGTTCATTTTCTATCCATTTAAGCATGCACCATGGCAGGAATTTAGTGTTAACAATTGGAGTAATCTCTCATGAATTTCATTTTCATTTTTATTTTAAAAATGTCGCATTTGAAAGAACGGTATCTGCGGGCTTTTTAGACAGAAAGCTATTTTAAAACCGAGATTGAATTATGAAAACATACAGCAAAAGACTATACGATAGAACTTTTTCATCCTTGTTAGGAAGAAGACTGATTGTACTCGATATGATTGGTTTGTTTCGTCTATTTGATGATTCGACTAATGGCAGGACAATGTTTAATCAACGTTTTGATCGGTGTTCGCCTTTCTGTTCTTCCTCGGAATTTTCCAATAGTCTTTCGAAGTTATATAGTCAGTTAATTTGTTCACATATTATTAATCCACATTAAAAGCACATTAAAGAGAAGTCACTCCGTACTGGATTTATTCAAACATGTATCTTAGTTGGATAGATTATGGATTTTTGATTGGATTTCTATGTGAGTGAGATTGTCGAATAGTATTTTCGATAAATGAGTTAATTTACAGGTTTATCTATAAGCATTGGCGTTTATCACGGATGTATTCGAACCAGACAATTAACAACCAATGAGTTTTTCATAGCTAACCGAGAAATGAAAGTGAGTATCCGATAATGATTGTAGAAAAGTTTTCAAACACGAAGATCTATCAGATATTACCAACAAGCATGAGTCTGTTAGCCAGTATAATGTCAGCAGCATTTTTACTTGGTACTCCTGTAGAAATTTACGCTTATGGATCGGTTTATCTCTACTATGGTAAGGAATCTCTTTGTACTTATTTACATACGAGCAATACTTTGTGAGTATTGTGTAGCAATTGCTTATATAATTGGAACCTATTTGACTGTGAATTTGTTTTTACCGAAATATCTTCAAATTAAATGTACAAGCATCTATGAGGTAAGAAGGAAAATATCTTTTCGTTAAAAATGTAACTGTTGACCTATGAATTCAGTATTTGGAGAAACGATTTTCTCTATCCGTTCGTACCAGTGTGACCAGTATATTTGTGGTCATTTATGTAAGTTTAAATCTCGAAAAATCCATAGGAAATAAATTAATGTTATTCTGATTCGATTAGATTATATACATGGGCGTTATTTTGTATGGACCAAGTTTAGCATTGAGCCAAATAACTGGTCTGAACCTTTGGATGATTGTGGGATTTGCTGGAGTGATTTGTACGTTTTATACAAGTATTGTAAGTATGATTGTATCCTATTGAATTCGAATGAAGCAAGACTCGAACTTACGGTGGAATGAAAGCTGTAATTTGGACAGATGTTACGCAAACTGTTACGATGTTCCTTGGAGTTATGCTATCCATAGTTTTCGGTAGGTATGTCCGATCAAATTGTATTGAGTTGCAACAGAATCAATTTGAATAGGTTTTATGGATGCTGGTGGAATCGAAAAAGTGTTCAAAACGGCAATTCAAGGAGATAGACTGAATTTTATCAAGTACATCACTTTAGAATTGACACAGAGTAAGTTCATTGGAAATGTTTGTTTCAGTTTTGATATCAATCCTTTCACTCGGTACACATTCTGGAATATTATTTGCGGAGGTGGTCTTTATTTTACAGCAGCAATTGCATGTCTTCAAACTCAAGCACAACGATTTCTCTGCGTAAGAGATCTTCGATCAGCGAAAAGGTAGGAAAGGTTTGCTGGTGATACTAAAATGTGCTTTTTGTAGAGTTGCTTGGATCAATTGTTTCCAGTTTATCTTCATGCTCTTCCTTACTGCATGTGTCGGACTTTTGCTTTACAGTAAGTATCAAAGTTGTGATCCATTACAAGCAAAGATCATATCGAAAGCTGATCAAGTAAAATTTAGAAGAAGGAGAACATAACTTGCAGTTGATCTCTACTTTAGTTATACCCATTGTTTGTTACTGAAACTTTGGGTAAAATTCCTGGTTTAACTGGCATTTTCATCAGTTGTATCCTAAGTGCATCCTTAAGCTCAATATCAAGTGGAATCAATAGTATAGTTACGGTCATTGTTGAAGATATTTATAAACGAATTAAAACATCTTCGACAATATCCGATCAACAACAGACGATTATTTCTAAAATTTTATGTAAGTGTATATCAGTCGATCAAATTGGGTGAAGACATTTCGTTTTGTAGCGGTGTCACTGGGAGCATTAACCGTATGTTTAGCTTGTCTGATGTCATATATGGGAAATCATGTGCTCGTGGTAACGAATCTTTAAATTTCTTTTGTTCTTTGTAACTGAACGATGATAGATCGTATTCCAAATTGCGGGATCATTTGCAGCGCCGATCCTTGGTGTTTATCTTGTCGGCTTTTTTCTTCGACGTGTGAATAGCCGGGTATGGTGACGATGATACTTAATCATAGCTGTACGTTCCTTTGTATACATTTTTAGAGCGTCTTAATTGCATTTTTTCTGTGCTTAATATTTCAAATGTGGATTTTGATCGGGTCGACTTTGACAATAAAACAACGAGTTAGAAGTGATGGCCGATTGAGTTTATCAATTCAAGAATGTTCGCCTCCATTGAACATAACTCAATCAACAAGGATAAATGAAAATAGTGCTGAACAGACTTTTTTTCTACCTCTATATTCAATGTCATTTCTGTGGTACAATGTGAACGGCGTTGTCTTGGTAATCGTTCTTTCTTATTTTGTATCGTTGATATGTCGTGCGAATGACTCACAATCCGTCGATGAGCAATTGTTAATATCATGGAGAAATCTTTTTATCTGTTCTTCAGAAAGACATGTAAGACTTTGAAAAAGACCTTTGTTAGTTGTATGATGGATGTTTTATTAGGACGACAAGCAAGCAAACGAAGCAGAACTCAATGAGTCAATGCTATCTTCGAAATAAAACATTTTCTGATTGCGTTTTCAATGAACAAATTGTTGAATAAACCAATTATGGGATTGATACTGACTCCCTAGGAGAAAAATATCCAAAGTTTGAATAAGAGATACTACCTGTGAAATGCCAAGTTGATTGGATGGATTTATAAAGACTAATTTGCACGGTGTCATACGCTAACAATGAAGTAGCAACTGTATTTAAATCTTTGAGAATTTATCCGACGACTTTACCAATCTGACCGCCTGTTCGATTGAGATAAACTGCATACATGGTAGAAGTTTTGTAATCGATCCTTCCACGATCGGTTGAATTCAACTTGTGTATTTGTTTCTTTTTCTTCCGTAAGAACGTAGAATATTAAATTGAGCAGCATTCAAACAGTTGATCCTTAAAAATCATGATCTTTGTGGACCGGATCTTGTCGAGCGATGCAAAGAGATATGGAAAAACATACAAAGAAAACTTTCTTTTGTTAGACGTCACGTCGAAGTACTTCAAATTAAAGGTTATATTATGCGAGAGAGAGTACTCGTGTTTCATTCTTATCTATGGTGAGATCTGCCTGATAAGTGTTCTGCGACGACGAATTGAAAATGCGTAGATCTTGAGACTGAGAATAGAATATATCAACAGTGTCAGATACTATCATCGCATCATTGCGGATATCATAAATACGATCCTGTGTATAAGGAAAGTCCGAAACTGGCAATCAACATATCTCTACGTTACAGAAAAAGATCATCTGATAGAAGTACTTTTTTCCCATTCTTTCATCGAAAGATTTCTGAAGATATAAGCAGTAGTATACAATGGAAGAGAATGTAAAGATGCAAACTATACTGTGTCTATATCTCATATTTCTGACGCATTTCACCATTTTACGCACAATCTTAGCAACACCAGTCGATGAGTACCATGAAGAATCGTTCACAATACGAAATGAAACAAATTATTCGACTGTTTCCACAGATGTAGAAACGTTGACATGGTATAATCGTTCAGCTACAGGTGTTCCCATTGACTTCCTTTCACTGTTAAATCTTTTTCTCGTGTATTTTCAGAAACGATCGATGAAAGCGGCGGTACAAAGACTTGTCCAGTCGATGATCAATACTGTTGAAACATTTGTCATTCTATATTTAGAGAACACCACTCACGTCAATGTACAGGTTGTTGTCACTCCGAACACACTCCGGGTACAAATTGGAAAAACCTACGAACTAACCTGTATTGTCCATGGCGATCTTGCAGATACACATGTCTATTGGATACAAGAACAGCCAGAACGAGTAAAACTCCTAGATGCTATTATTACATATTGTATTTACCAAAGTGTTGCTTTGTCTTTGCACGATTTCAGCGATACATGTTTGCTCTTGCGGATGACAGAATCGTGTCAGAATCACAAGTGATACTCACGATACGAGTTACACTTGTTCATCGAGGTAACATTGGTGAATATAAGTGTATAGCAGAACATGAAGCGGGAAGTACTAATACTGCTACTGTCACTATGGAAGAAATAGCTGGCTATCAGCAGCCTGTAACCTGGGTAGAACACCTTTTAATGAACGAATGTCGATGTAATTCGTAGTTTCTGATATAGTGCAGTGCCGGTACTAAAATATTACAGATTATTGCACCAGATACAATTGATGACGACGATGTACTGATTCAATGTATTGGTGCGAAAAATAAAAGAATTGACTGGTACCTCAATAATCGAGTATGTGTTGTCTGTACTGTTATAGATTCCAAATATATTTTTTTCTTGCAGCTTCTTGTTGAGGAGGAACCATTTCAATTCGATGAAAACATCCTTCGTATCCATCCAGCTTCCAAATTGTGTTCAGGAGAGTATCGCTGTGCAGTTTTCGATCCTACTTATAGAGAAGCACGGCGTACTCTTACATTCACACGTAACTATATTAAAGGCATCAAAGAGAATAAACTAAGTGAAGTGATGTCCTTTAAGGAGAACCCAGTGACTGTGTTTCTCAAGCATTTAATCCACCAAGTCCATTGTTCATTAATGAAGGTATGAGACAACTAATTTGGTCTCCATCTGGATATGATTTTGTCCATTGGACACGTGATGGTGACGATGAACGTCTTCCATCAAATGTCTATCAAATCGATCATAATTTACGTATCAGGAAGGCACGCCCTAATGATTCTGGGATTTATCATTGCGAGTTACGTACAGCAGACGGTGTGCACATTAATGTTTCCTATGAAATCCAAGTGCAACCCACTCAAACTCGTCATTCATTCTATGGTACGTTCTGTTTCATGATGCTTGTTATTCTACTCTGTGTTTGTAGGTGAACGACTAAAAATAACTATTCCTGAACCGTCAATCAATCTACAAGAAGGTGAAGATAAGACTATTCTATATACAATCGATGTCTGTACACCTTCAAGGAAATAAAAAGAACTATCTTATTGACTTATTTCTAGTCCGATGAACCAGTTGAAATCTTTTGGAACAGATATACCGATCAAGGCTATGAACCAATGCCATTAACTTTCACAGTTGAGCCAGATCGTCTCATTCTTCATCATGCCACAACTGATGTTACTGGTATCTATCACGTCATTGTTCGTGATTCACATCTTGAAGTTCAACAAACACTACGCATCAATGTTATACCACGACACCAAAAAGAGCAACGAAAATGGATTGAAATGAGTGTGCGACCGAGTGAAATAGTGATTGGACCTGGTGAAAAAGTAACGGTCAAGTGTGGCGTGAAAGGCATTGAACAATATCGAGTGACGTGGAGTGTATATTCACGTAGCACACAGTTTCCTCGTTTCGTATCCGTCTGTATCATCAAGATTTGATATCTAAAATTCATGATTCTTTTGTTTTACTAAATAGCAACAAGGAAATAATATTAAGATCGCACCAACTGATACTACACCTGATGAACCGATTTATTTGCAATGTCAAGTGGATAAACCAGATGCATTTCGACTATGCTATGCTTATGTAACAGTCTATGTTACCGATGGTGAACGAAAGAAAAGAAATATACCCTATTGACAACCCAGACGTATATAATCACATCTACCAATCGAAAACCGANAATTCATAAAAGTCTTTTCGGACATTTATTTTATTATTAATATTTGCAGGAAACACCGCAAAAAAAAACACTCAACTCAACTAGGTGTGATGCATAAGTCACTCGGTAATAATAAAACATGACGTAGAAATGTCAATACATTTAAGCAGGATGTGAAAGCAAACTGTTTTTTCAGCATGAAATATGATTTTCTCTGTGAAAAACTATTGACAGTCAATGCTCTTTGAAAAAGATGTGAAATTTAATTACAGCGAAGATTAACTAAAAGAACAGTGTATTTTTTAGAATTATGTTATATTCTACACTTCCGACAGCGTAAGCCATACCGATCTGTGTAATGAAAACAAGCATAAATCTTCTTTAATCACATCACAATTTGAATTTCTTTTTATTTTATCTATTTGAACAATAGACTAGTGCACAAAGCGCATAATCATGGTTCTGTATTTATCTTGGTCAAACATTTTCTTCGTAAAAGTACAAATGACATATGGAATAAACACAATGTTTTTTAACGTTAATTTTTCATATTTAATCATTTAAAATTAGTTATTTCTTACTATGAGTTGAACAATGATGCTCGTATGTGTATGAAACTAGCAGAGGCACCCATTGCAAGCTAAGAAACATTTATCGGGTTTCACTTTCACTCTCTTTGTCTTCGTTTTTGATCATTCACACAATCTTACATAACTTGAACAGATAGATAGAGAAAAAAGCATTGCGAATCCTACGTAACTTTCTTAAGAGACAGTTCACGGCTCCATCGAGCATTTTTATATAGGGCCGTCATACAGAATTGTTTGACCCCCTTTTTTTAGCATTGCAAATGAAAGAGCATGTAAAAAAACATATAAATTCAAAGTTTCAGCTTTTTTCAAGTTGGCTATGTATGGATTTAAAAGACATCTTCTTCAATAGGTCGAATTGAGAATTTTTTAGTTTTTAGTTTTTTACGAGTTCAGTATTTGATTATTTTCTCTCTCAAAAATTATTCAATTAAATCAAGTAATATGTCAAACAATAGAGTAAATCGAGCTCTACAAAACGGCATATTTAGAATATTTTGAAAAAAATTCTCGCTCTGTCTATAAGGCAAAAACTATCAAAAACCCCCCTAAAAAGCGGTGAAAATTTTGGGGTCTTTTTTAGTATTTTTATGACAAATTGGTAAGAAAAAAGTTCAGGCCGAGAATACTTACTTATGGGTTCGATAGAGCAGAAGAAACTGCACAAGATACACCTAAAAAAGAATCCAAAAAACATGCGCATAGTGCCCAAATTTAGCCCTAAAGATTCGCAAATATCGCTATTTCGGAGGAATTTTAGATGATTTTCAGAGGGTAATATAGCATTTTAGCTTTGTATAATCTCGGGTTCCTGAAACCTTATATACCATTAGATGCAGAAAAAAAACTGAATCTTCTGGTGATGATTAAAAACTGCTCTGCGTACTTTTCTTTTTCTCCAAAAATTTCTCTGGGGGAACCCCCCAGGAATTGTTGGCTCGAAAAATAAATTTGAGGAAAACATCGTTTTCAAGTTTTGGTGGTCATCCATTTTCTCTCGTTTCATTGTTTTATTATGTCAGAAGCTGTTTCCCGCTGGTGAGACAATTTTATCCTGANATGCAGCTAAGTCAGAATTACTCCGTGGCTGTGTTTGTTCCCGAATTTCAACAACCCGTTTGTAAGATTCTAATGCTTTTGAATAGCATTCCATCTTGATATGAATGTCAGCGATTTTGTTATAAGATTTTTCTAAATCAGGATGAGTTTGTGGAAGTGATGCCTGCTGAATTTCAACAGTTTTTTCATAAAATGACAGTGCTTTTGGATAGTCACCCATGCTATCATATACACTACCAATGTTGCTGTGAAACATTGCCAAATGAGGGCGATGGTGTGGAAATAGCTGCAGCTGAGTTGCAAGGGCATTCTCGTAGTATGAGAGCGCTTTTGGAAAGTTGCCCATGTTATCATACACGCTGCCAATGTTGTTGAAGTAAACAGCTAGCTGATGGTAATTATGTGGAAGTGATGATTGTTGGATTGACAGAGCTCTTTCATAATATGTGAGCGCTTTCGTATAGTTCCTCATGTGGCTATATATGCTACCTATGTTGCTGTATTGTATGGCTAGAAGAGGATGATCATGTGAAAGTGATTGGAGTTGAATTGTAAGGGCTTCTTCAAATAATGATAGTGATTTTGAATAGTTACCCATATTGTAGTATACACTACCGATATCATTGTATGATATGGCCAATTCAGGATGATTGCGTGGAAGTGACTGACGTTGGATTTCCAAGGCTTTCTCATATGATGTAAGTGCTTCCCGATATTTGCCCATGTGATTGTATGCGCCACCAAGATTGCTGTACGATGCACCTAATTCAGGATGATTGTGCGGGAGTGATTGCTCTTTTATTACAAGGGCTTGTTTGTAGGATAAGAGTGCTTTTGAATAGTTACCTGTACGATCGTGTACCCAACCAACATTGTTGTAAGATGCAGCCAATTGAAGATGATTCGAAGGTAGTAAATTTTGATGAATGGCAAGAGTTTGTTCATAAAATGATATTGCTTGTGAATAGTCGCCGATGTGAACGTATATGATGCCCATGTTATTGTAGGATGAAGCCAAATCAAGATGATTCCGTGGACGAGCTTTTTGCTCTATAGAGAATGACTTCAGACCAAATTCTAATGCTTGCTCGTATTTTCCTTGATTAGCTTTGATCCAGCTCATATGACCATAGAGTTGTGCCTTCTCCATGTTACCAGGTGACTCATACAATAAGACTTCGGTAATCTCTTGGGCCTTTTCGTTTTGATTCAGTTTTATCAGGAGTAAACTCAATCTGTGCCATCCAGATAAATTTGGGAAACTCTCTTTTCGTATGAAGTCAGTAAGCATACTCAATTCTTTGTCATTATCATTAGTCAGCACCAAACTCACTTCATAAAGGTTATTATTCGTGCCTATTTGTTTAATGTCGCGGATTCGAAATACACTGTGCATAGAGAACAGGACTTCATCTTCATCTTCAAAGAAGCTACAATTACGAATGAGTGCAAAACAGGTTGATGATGAGGTAGAATGAATTTGTATAGTGAAAAGCACTCCTACTAAATCAAGATTACTTGCGTTGCTTTCAGCACGAATAAGAGGAATATCTCGTGTTTCACTCGTCGATAAAAAGCTATTGAATGACATCAATCCACCTTTAACCCTTACCATTTGATCGAAATCCAATTTTGATAATCCCTGGCCGCGATATACTGTAAAGATTTGACTGGAAGACTGACTAGCAGATTGTTCCTTATGTAAACGTTCAATATGACGGTGGAGATCATTGATGAAAAAGCCCATTTGTACAATGATATTACAATCCATTAGTCGTAAAGCACGATTGAGCATAGAATACAAACTGCTTTCTCGAGTATACCACCATATCGACGACTTCTGATGATATTTGCGCACGAGCTCATCAATGTTTTCCAATTCCCCCCTTCTTTTCAACAAATGGGCGAGGACAAAACTCAATGAACTTTTTAACGTGGTTATCGTCAAAGTCAATCGTCAGTAAGATCTCTTTGATAATTTGTGTGTACATAAATGATGGTTCTAATTGATCTAGCCTCTTACCAGATTCAACAAAGCTGATTGGCATGCTATTCTGTTCAGTTTGATGAAATGCTCGCTTGATGCTTTCACAGAGCGATGTTACATCGGTACAAACGCTCTTTACCTTCGGGCATTCGTTGGTGTATGTGTCACCGGACTGTTCAGCGTGGGATGAGACAAAGATAGCATCCAAATGGGAAATATCACTTATGCAAGGCATGAGACTCCCAATGAGGGATTCCGAGATGATCAAAAATACTCTAGTGTCGGTAATGGTTAAGATAAAATCAATGCATTCATCATTATCGGTAAATGTATTGATGCAATGCGCGACATTTTCAAGTTGTGCAATTGTGTGTTGGTAATATTCGTCATTGGTATCTATGTATTCGTTCAACCAGACAATAATGACACTTTGCATCTGATGTAAGACAACACGCGGTAGTTTGGATATTATCGTTGATTCTTCATCTACCATTGTCTTCACTTGCTTCGTAAAATCTGAATAAAAAGAGACAGTTTTTGTATTTCGTTATTTCTTTAACGCAAACTTTTCGGTATGAAACATGACAAAGTAGAGCTTTTAATTGCATAAATCCGAAAAAGGAAAACAAAGAACGGAACGAATAAATAATAAAAACACTTGAGAAACAAGCAGAACTCAGCAAAGCGTACTGTCGATCAGCAGCCATTGAATTAGTTTTGCCACAAAGTGTTTGTTGTATTTGTGTGTGTGTGTGTGTGTGAACCAGGCAGGCGTGTCTTATTTTCTTTTGTTTCTGTTTTTATAAGAATCACAAGTTGGAAAAAAAGAGTCTTGAAATTTTCTTTTATAATATTGACAAGATGTATTTTTCAATGCGACTGAGATGATTGAGGCTGTAAGTGTGGATATTAGTACATGTGCTCACACCTTGATTTAATCGAAATTAAAATAATTGTTTATGAGTTCTATTAAAAATTTCATTAGCTGAAGAATATACGATGTTCGAAGACAAATCTTCGAGATTTTGCGGTAGAAAAAAATAGAACAGTATGTTTTAATATTCCTTATACATTCTGTAAAATCGTCTCAATTTTCTTTGATAGCGAATAAAAATTGTATTGTTTTTTGATACGCGGGTTTGCTTGGCAACCTGACAAAGGAATGGAGATTTTTCCTGTTTAGATATTTGTGCATTATACATGACAAGGACGTGGTTGTTCTGTTTAGTAGTTATTATCGCAATAGTATGTGTAGAATTTGCTTGCATATCGCGGTTTATTCTTCTATTATTTGCTCTTCATCTCTCTTTCTCCAAGTCCACGTGTGGCTGCAAGAAAAGATAGTAGATTTATCTTCTTCTATCTACCTCTCTAAGCCTCACCGTTCTTTTTTATATAACAAAAACGGCGACTGATATTCCCTTTTTTCTTTGTTATCGTCATAGTTTACAGTCTGTGAATAAATTCCTGAGTTTTTTGAAAACCATTTTAATGCGATTTTTTTCGTAGATATACGGATATATAATGCCTGTCTTAATCACGGCAAGACGAGCCGATATAAAGAGTTCTGAAATGTCACGAGAAATGGAACAAAGAGCAGGTATGTCAACTTTGTTTCGATAGTTAATATGAAAACTTTTGTGTTTCTTCTCAGTCGATGTTGCAGCGGAGGCATTTCATGCTTTTAATAACGAAAAGGAGGTTGCTAGTCACATAAAAAAGGAGTTCGATAAACGTTACAATGGAACATGGCACTGGTAAAAAGCAATTTGAATATAGCCATCATGCTACATGTTTCTCATTTTAGCATTGTGGGTCGTAGTTTCGGTTCATTCGTGACGCATGAAAGACAATGTTTCATTTATTTTACTCTAGAACCATTCGATATTGTACTCTATAAAATAGGTTTAAATTAAAACTGTTAACCTTCTGCCGGCCTTCGTTCTTTGACAGATTGGTGTGAGAAAGTTTTGCTATTTATGTTTTCTGTCACATTTTCAACACATGCATTTGTACGCACGGATTCTTTTCTTTGATGATTGAATAAACTAATAAAATGACATCAATTCGTACAAATATTCAGTTTATTGAGAATGTTAGAAATTCAAGACGGGATGTCCTTCTAATCGATTCGAGTGACGATTTCTAATTCAAGATCGGGTGACGTGATTGACTGAGGACAAACAGGAATCAAATCTGGATTTTTGTGAATATATTCTGTATAACCAGTACCGTTGCGTACCAAAAGCGAGCAGCGTAATGCTGGTTCATCGTCATAAACCTGTACGCATTCGTGAAAAACGTAAGTATCGCCTATTTGTTGAAGAGGTGTTGGCATAGTTAAAGTTCCGTGTTCGCCAGTGGAGAATGTTACATTGGCAAACCATCTGCCGAATCGAGCGTTTGCCGATGTACCGTCGGCAAATTCGGCGTGAAAATAACCGACCATCCATTCGGGAAACGAAGCTCCGATTGGACACACCGATGAAGTTGTCACAATTGAAATGGAAGTAACACTAAATATCAAAATGAATATTGAATACATACCCATTATCCAAAGCAATAGTCGATTAACAGTGATACTAGAAAATGACTATATCGATTTTATTTCTCTGTTCATGGGAATAAATGGCATCTGTATTTTAAAAGAAAGCCTAAGTCCTTCGATACTTCAAAATAAATCACAGAATATGCGAAGGATGATAAAGCAAAAAAGCAACAGAATTGCACATAAATACACACAACTGAATCATTGCATGCAGTATTGATGTTCATGATTCGATCATACCAGTTGATACCATTGTACTCACCTATCTCATACAACGTTCACATATATAAAAGTTTCGTTCATATTTAAAATGACATAAGTGGGTCCGTATATGTAAAGTCGAAGTTGCACCGCACACGCCGTTCACACTAACCATCGCTAACTACACCACTCGTTACTCCCGGACTCTAGTGTTGAATTCGATGATTAATTATGTCTTCGATGTATATGTCACCTGTTTTCTTTGAAGCACACAGATAATAAGGATAGTCAAGTTGATTTCTATGCGAGCCTTGTCCGTTTCCACAGGTACCTAGTTGAAATCGTTGTATTCTATTATTTCCTAAATCGGCAATATACATACAAGAATTGGTTTCGTCAAGGTATACTGAAAACGGTTCACTGAATGTCGCGCTATTGTTTCCCGCTATACGTTTGTAATACCTGCAATGGCCGTACCAGAAGTAGCATTCGCATTTCATTACATGATCATTGTCATGGCAAACGATACAGATATTTCTTTGAGAATCAATGGCTATTCCACCCGTTATACCCAATGTATTCAATACGTTTCCAGGGACTCCAGTATCAGCCGTTGTTACTAAAAAAGTGAATACAAATTGATAGGGATAGAACATCAGTATTGAATTTACTCGTCTTCAAATAACGATTGATTTGTAAATATAAACGAAGAGTTCAGATTTATTCGACGAATTCACATGTTTTATTGTTTTTATAACAATTCAAGTCAACATACAATGAAGGCTTATGTAGGAAGAATCCTAAGCAAATGCACTCATTAAATGAACTTCGATACCTAAATAATAGTAGAACTATTTGCTGAAGTGTACAATAAATTATCCATGTAACCGATGCGTAATATATATATATTCAATATCAGTGACAAGCACGATAAAGATTAACTTAATTATCGATAATATCATTTTTCTGAAATATGGTTATTAGAAGTAGGAAAAAGTTTCTATCCTCTCGAAGTGTCTCATGATACTTTAAGCCCAATTGAAAGTGAGGAAGACATTTTCTTTATGAACTTTACTTTCAAAATAAAGCACTTAAGTCATAAGTTCCAATTTCTGGGAACTATGCTTTGAAGATGAGTGTCGGTACATGGAAAATTTATAGATGATGCAATTCAAAAGGATTGTCTGGGGTCAGCTTGACAAATGACACAGTTATGACTATAATTATTTTTCGAAAAGAGATTAATCATTCCAAATACCATGGAGTGGTTTGTTTATTTAACACCTCAGAGGTCAGATATTTAAAGAAAAGAATAACGGACGTTGTTGTGTACATCCGTTCGTAAAATCTTAGAAATACTTAACGAGCGCTTACTATAAAATACATGCGATTAATAATTTGATTTGATAAGATTTTCTCCTCCGTATCGATTCACTTATATTGAATTTAATCTGGTTACCGCTTTTAAGAATCGTTAGTGATCAAATATTCAAGAGCGTATAAATATTCTCCATGCAGTGATGTAATGAGACACAAAACACGCACATCGACACCATTGATATGTAAAGATAGATTCTGGATACGTGAGTATTACCTATTCGTTTATTCAGTTTTAAATGAACGTTTGTACAGCAAGCAAGTAAAGTAAGTAATAAAACAATTAATGGGATAGATACGCTGCTACAGCTCGTGCGAAATGTCGACAGTCATTGATTCCTACCTCGTAATCACCAAATTTCTGAACTTCACGTTTGACGAAATTTTTCAAACCTCGAGCATTTTTATTACACCTTCTCACACGTCGACCACTTGGCTTCCAATAAGTTGGTACAATATCAACATAGACTGGTGAGTAACGTCGTCCAGAATAAATGTCAGCAATTAGATGAACTTTGAAAGTATGCCTTGTATCCGTTTGGAAAACCACAAAGTTATGGTGAATCAATGTTTCATGAATGTAAAATCGGCGAACAAACATATAATCGGTAAATAGTTTCGAACAACGGTAACGATCAATAAGTCGACCGTTGAATTCGTTATTGGATGCGTTAAGACCAGCTAAAGCTAAACTTGCAGCTAAAACTCCTATTCCTTGCATGAATGTATCACGAACTTTTTGCCAATACATCGCCTCCATGTCAAGATGATTGCGAGCAAATCTACAATAGAAAAAAAGTAAGACACACATGAGATGGTGACTCGACTTTCTTTAAAAAAACATATTCATCAGAAGAAAAGCAAGGCAAATGAGACATTATAATTGTGTATCGATATCGTTCGGGTTTGTTATTCTGCCTATCTAATATTTTAGGATAAGGAAGCCACGTGGTCTTGTCTCTATACTTATGTACGATCGAGGGAGAGAAGCGAATGAAAACATTCACTTTAGTATCATTTGAATAGATTGATATTCATCATAACACTATTTTCTATCGATGAAGAAAGGTGCGAAGAATATACGCGTATTTTTTTGTTTTCTCCTTTCTCTATCATCAACACAACACGTATACACATGTTAAGAACGACAGATACTCACCTTGGATGTGGCATTGATGAAAAATGTAGAACGACAAAAGAAACGATGCTCTTTAACACATATCCATGAAACCGATCAAAGATGAAATGAAATCTGTAAATCAGCAAAATCGTTTTTATTTGCTTAGATAGTCTGGTAAAGCAAAATAATGAATGCTTTGATCTTTCTCAATACAATGAATATCTTGATCATCTTTCGCCTTGTCGGAAACTAGAACGAGCTGATTCTTGCCTTGCCATGCTACACCTTCAACATTACAATATTTGATTTGACATCCAGAAGCCGTTTCCGTCGATCGTGGAAAGTCATATACTACACTTGTCTTCAATTTTGATACGTCAAAATAAGGCCTTTCATCGATTTCATCAATACGACCGATCCATAATTGACTGTTTGTTTGACTGACCACAGCTATGTATGTAGGTAACTGCTTTGTTTTTGAAGGATAAATTGACATAGCTGAATAGTCACTGAAACGAACTGATGACGGCAGGTCAAATGTACCCATAGGCTCCCATGAGCATACACCTGGAAAAGATTATGCTTTTATGAGATTCTTTCGACAACAAACTTAATTACCATTAGCTGTTCTCTTCTTTTCGAGAACAACAATACGTCCATCGTTGGTTGAATTAGATTTATGATCACATTTATTTGCTTCACATAATGCCAGTAGATAAGTTTGACCTGTACGTTGGTGGTAGACAGCTTCTAAACCTTCGAAACCTTTGTTCTTCGATCCAAACGTCCAGCTGACCACACAGGAGTCAACTTGCTGTAAAGGTTGAGCTCGGTTCATGGCAATGCTTAATTCAAAAATATTTGAACGAAATATTCCTTTCGCGTTTGTTGGTACTGTTTCTTGCACAACGAAATATCTTCTATTCACTGGTTCGTAAGCTATTCCTTCAAAACTTGAATCTTGACCGTTGAGTGATGCATTGGGCCAAGAAAATAATTGATCCGTACAATTGGATAACCGTCCCAATGGCGTGCAGAAAGCACCGATTTGGTAGGTGTTATCGAATACAACATACATGTAGTGCCCATCAGGACTAAGAACCACATCGGATGCTTCGAAACGGTTGGGAAGGATTTCGTCCTGACCGTAACTAAAATTATTTTCAAACAATTCGATGATATCTATCAATCAATAAAGTATTTACGACGTTAAATCCAAGAAGGAATGTCCAATTGCTTGGTCTTTCAATAATTTCAGCGTAGTATCTTGGTAATTAGCATTCTTGCATGGATTCTGTGCTGTCGTTGTTTTGTCATTCACGAGAATGAAAACCAGTATGGCCAATTGAAATGATCCTTTGGAAAACATTCCGTTGACCTTGCCACGAAAATAATCGGTCTGATGTATGCGAAGTGAGCTACGACTTTACTATCAATTTCGGTTCTATTAAATACTTTTCACATATTTGATTTTAGCTTAAAGAATATGACAATATTTATTTTGAAGAAGAGAGAATTAAGACCTATGAAAATCTAATCAATGTTTCTTTGCATATGGTTCGAGATGATATTCTTTCCAAAATCAAATTCGTTTTTAATTAATTTTTTGAATAACAGAAAGAAAATTGTTTCAAGTGCATAATAGTAAATAATCCCGGCAAAGTATCGGCGAAATGTCAACGCAAATGCTCTGTTTAGTTACTATTTTTAAATGCACTTTTTTCAATCATTTGGAGAGATTAGGGTTTCTTTCAAGCTGATTCACCTTATGCCGTGTAGGTGTAAATTAGAAAAGATAGACCTCATTTGCAGTTATCTTCATCTCGATGAATAACGATGATTAGATCATTTATTATCAAAAGATCTTGCTTCGTCATAAATGTTCTACATATTAAATCCTCTCCAGTACTTTTTTTTAATGTAGTGGTGCGGAAGGTTCTGAATGTGATTTATGGAAGATTAGTATAAAGTGTATCTGAAACAGATGTGTATAAGCATCGTTGCTAGTTCCATTTGGCAGTGATCAATGACGAGATCACTTCAATAAATGATTGTGCTTAAGAACGAATTCCTAAGCTTTTTTCTTATTTTCAAAGTGCGTATTCTTTCTTGAGCTTTCAATTTTTATTATCCTGGGTGTTTTATGTACAGAAAAGACTATTTTTGACAATTGACGAAGCACTTAACTGGATAGGAATGATGCTACAGCCCATGCAAAATGTTGACATTCATTGATTCCCGCTTCATGACCACCAAACTTGTAAACTTCTTATTTTATGAACCATTTTAGCTCCAATGCACTTTTACTCGATCGTCCGACATATCTGTTCTAGGGTTTCCAATAAGTTGGTATAATATCGACATAGACTGGTGCATAACGTCCAACTTCGATGTCAGCAATGAGATGAACTTTGAAAGTATGCCTTGTATGCGTTTGGAAAACGACAAAAGTATGACAGATCAATGTTTCATAGACATAAAATCGTTGAATAGTCATTCCATCTAGCAGAAGTCGCGAACAACGATATTGGTCTGTTATAATCGACCATTAAATTCGTTGTTGGAAGCATGGGAGCCACCTAAAACTAAACTTGCAGCAAAAGGTCCGATTCCCTGCATGAATACATCAGGCGCTTGTTGCCAATACCAATATGTCATCGCTGTATTCTATTGGAGCGATGTGGTCATATCGGAATTATGAGATAGTGAAGAAAGTATTGACGGTATTCGGATGCTTGAAACTCATTTATCGCGGCGATTATAACGTAATATTGAGATGCATTCGGAGAACGAGCATGATCGTATATATACATTTACGTGTAATCAAGTGCGAGAGAAAAAGAAAGAAAGATAGAAATCTTAGTTTTCCTGTGAATGAATTCAAAGGTGATCGTGCTTACAACAGGATATGTAAGCGTATCTTTTCTTTCTGTATCAACGTCCAGATAGACGACTATACAGGAAAAGACTAAAATATTAACTGTATAGTTGTATATGTGGACGAAAAATCTGGTAAATCTTGACGTTTACAGGTAATTATTCGTAAGGAACTTCGGTATTTTGTTACTGTCTATCCATATGGAAACTATATGTGGTATATGAGCTCAATGGAACTTCGTTTATCGTTTCAACATAGCTATTATCAATTATTGTTATTTTGCGCTCCAATCATCGAAGCACGATTCAGACGTTTTGTAATATGACTTCCCATGAAAATATGGGCACAAAGACAATCGTGTAGCTTTGAATACATATTCTTCGCCATGTCTGAAAAGTAGAATTATTCATTCATTAAAACGTCATTCAACTTAACTATACACATGATTTCTTTTCATATAAGAATTTCCATATTCGTTTGAAAACATCGTCTTTGTCTTCTTGCTTATTTGTATAATTTGGCATCGTAAATAGTATGCAAAACTATATATTTCAATGCATCAAGTGCCTATTTTGCTTGAAATATCTTTTAGTCTCTTTGTATTTATGCTAATAATGAATAAATTTACTTCCTCATTTATTTTCTATATATACACAACCGAGTTGATAGAACAAAGCACTCCGAAGAAATCTATTTTGCAACTAAAAAATGAAATTAATACTGATTATTGCTTGTGTGATAATTCTAAAACATTCGAATGGTCTTACTAATCCAAATTCTCGTTATAATTGGCGTTGGATAGCCTATCCACGCGCACTTACTGCTGCCAATGATCAACAATCAGCCGATGAAGAAAAGACTCGAGTTCGCCGGAATCCGAACTGGGGGTATCAACCAAACTGGCGTTGGATATCCTATCCACGCGCACTTACTGCTGCCAATGATCAACAATCAGCCGATGACGAAGCTATCGTACGTCGAAGTCACATTAATAAACCAGGTAAAGCTGAAGGACACGGCCAACATCATCACCATCATTCAAGGCCAAAACCATACGAATCTGAACGGGAAAATTCAAATAAACCATTCAATCGCTCTTTGTACCAAGGCTGGTATCAGCTGCCATCATCATTAGCGGTGAATAACACGCTTTTAATGGGTGGATCCTGGGGTAATGTAGAAAAAACAAATATCAATGATGAAAGCATAAATACTTGCGATATTTCAAATATCTCCATTTGTAACATTGTCAACAATGTTGAAGGTGAAGTACGCCAATGTTTTCACCAAATCGATGAAATTACATCATATGCATCAGAATTCTTTAATGTGTCAAATGACAATATCGCAATATACAGAGAAGACGAAAAATTAGCTGAACTTCCATTTCCCGAACCCTTTAACGTTACAATTTCCGAAGTGGTTCAAATTGTCGGCTGCGATGGCAATCCACTTGTGTGTCATACAATGAAAGCAAACGCCTCCGATTGTAATACGCTTTATCTGTGCCACGCAGTTCACGGTACAGTTGTTAAACAAGTTACTGTTGATTATAACGAAGAACTCAATAATGTCACAATGTATGCTATGTGTCATCTGAAAACAGACAATTTCGGTAAAGAACATGTCGCATTTCGTATGTTACATAAACGGCCTGGTGATGGTATTTGTCATTTTATTAGTCCTGATAGTTTTCTTGTTTGTAAAAACTAATTTCATCATCGAAAACAAATGTTTGACTTTGTTCTTTGTGGTAATAAAGTGACCTCAACTTATGAAGGGGGCAATTTAGTAAACGGATGCACAATGCATTGATTGTTATCGTTTCATTTCACTCAGAAAAGGAAGACAATGTAGCTATCGACAACATACACTTTATTCGCTTCTCCTCGATCTGTTTCATGTAAAAATAAAGTCCAAAGATTTCATTTTTCTTTATCTCCAATGAAGACCATGCTTCAAAGCACGTTGGGCACTATCACAAAACAAATAGAACGAGTCAACATTTTCCTCGGTTTTTTCCCCTGCATAAGATCGTGTTCGGTGTACACAAGAGATTTTTTCTCTTGTTATCATCTATGCAAAGAAGCAGTTTGGATGGTAAGATAATAGGCTGGTTGTCGCTGAAAAATAACTAAGCACTATCTTATCAAGTTCAATGACTAATCTTGTTTTTCTTCATTTTTTCCAAGTTACAGCCTACATAATAAATACCATCACACAATATCTGAAATGGCTATTAAAAAATGTCTTCTAACATCTAAAAATAATTAGATTCGAAAGATGAAATGTATTGTTTTCTTTTT